CAAAATCAAACTTTGATGAATGAACAAAAATGGCCTAACTGGGAAAATACCACATGCATACGAAATGATATGGCAAGTGAAAACGATAAAAATTGTTGCCTCATTACGAGGCACTAGCCATTGGTCAGTGTGGATCATGTATCTGCCATTTCTAATTAATTCACATAATAGAAGGCCTTCTTATTCTTTTACTTATTTGAGATCTAGTCGATCTGCTAGTTTTAAGATTGCCTCTGTAGGAGGTTTTGGGAGATGGACTGTCAACTGTCTTTCCATCTTTTTGGAGGTCTTGTTCTAGTCTCTTACCCATGGGTTTTCCTTCAAGAGCTATGCGTGGTAGCCTGTTTTCTTCCATGCGTTTTGCGTGTTCGAACCATTGTCTTTTTCTTTGCCTACCCCATCCCACTACGGCCTGTAGTCCACATTGTTGTCTGATATTTGTGTTTCCTAATTCTGTCTCTTCTAGTCTTCTCCATTATGGTTCTTAGGCTAGTCTTCTCCATTATCGTTCTTAGGCTTCTTCTATTTCAGCCACTCTTAACATGATTTTGGTCTTCTTTATTTCCTCGCGGATTTCTATGCCATATGTCATTATTGGTCTGATGCAGGTCTTATCAATTTTAATTTTGTTGTTTGTTCGCATGAAGGGGTTTGTCTATTACTATTTGCCTGAGACATCCTGACATGGCCGTTGCTCTGTTTATCTGGCTTCTCAGGTCTTTCTCTGGGTCATGGTAGTACGACATATCTATTCCTAGGTATCTGAACTGTGATACTTGCTCAATAATTTTGTTTTCTACTACCAGTTTGCATCTTACCGGCTCTTTAGAGAAAGTTAAGCATTTAGTTTTTTTCTGTAGAGATAATCATATATTCAATTATCGGCCTACTTGATAGAATTTATGAAGCTGTCTCTGCATATCGTCCTCTGTCTCCGCGATAATGGCTGCATCATCATCAGCGGCACACACTGCTAGCTCTGTTGTGTCCCATTCGATAACCGATATTCATCGAGGTCACATTTTCTATGATGATGTCCATTAAGAGATTGAATGAGAAGGGACTAAGGCTACTCCTTGTCTAATGCCTCCTGGTGTTGGTATGTTTCGTGTTAGATTATTCCCTGCTTTCTAAACTTACGGTTTTTGTATAGCAAAGAGTATTTGTATAGTAGATAGTTAAATAATTAGTAACTTATTGTTATTTATTAGATATAAACTTCTGTATTAGAGATGGGTAGGTCCGGATGGATATGAATACACGGACCTCTCTCCAGTGCCGATACTATTGGATGCAGATCCGACTTAATATCGACCCCTATCCGGGGTACTGCAATGCTGACAGCCAACAGGCCACCTTGTCGGCAGATATCAAAAACATAACGATGCAGAGAAATAAATCAGTATTGGAGAGTATTGGAATAAAGGAATTCTAACTGCTGCTGAGTTGCATTTACTGTTTTTTAAGTTTTCTTTCGTGGAATCTTAACCGTATTCGAAATTATTTTGTATTATTTGAAATCTGTATTGTGTAGTGTTGTTGCTTTATTGGAAAGCAACAACACAAGTTTAAGAAATTATAGAATAAGTTATGATTGTAAAAATATTATCTGTTAAATGCTGACCAATTTAGACCTCGAGTATCTTTTATTAGTAGGTATGTAAAGTTCGCAATACTTTTCCTTATAGTCACAAATTTGAACCTGAGGGTACCTCTCTAAATAAATAGAACAGCTAATTACGTGATAAAGATTTGGGAAAACGCAAACATCAGATTTCTCTAACGGACTACAAAATTTTTGAACGCGGATTGCTTTATGCAAAACAAAATGTAGATAAATTAAAATTAAAGGTTAGAATGATACAGATCCGGCAAAACTGGAACCTGGATGAAGGTCCATGAAGCTTGATGTAACTCCGGATCCGACTCTTAAAATACCGGACCTACCTCTCTCTATTTTGTATACGTTTATAAGCACTTTGCACAATCGGTGTATATACGCCTTTAGTTCTTAGGTTGAATTTTCTCTAAAGTTATTGGACTATTATACAATACTATATTTCTGTTTCTTCGCGCAATTTATGTTCTCTGTAATAACAATGCGGCGGAGTTCAGCAGGATCGCTGCACAGTCAAGGAACTCGCTGAGGACGAATCTTGCGTTCCCGTTAAGATGGATACCTTCGATTATTTGGGTCAGTACGACCACAGAGAACATATTCAAAAGAACAATAGATTTAATTATAAAGCAAAGATAATATAATTTATATACAAAATTATCTATATATTATATATCAATAATTATTATAATTATTTAAGCCGCAATTATATTCGATTTTCGTATAAATTTTAATACGAAAATATGTTCTCTTGCGAATTCCTGCAACCTACATATTTTTTACTGGTTTGAAGACTAATAACTTTTCGTCTGTACCTGCATAAAACTACTAAGTAAAAGAGTATACATTTACGACGTTTTTTTACGTAAAAAAGGTCTCTTGGTGAAAATCGACGAAAAGTAATTGTCTATTTAAAAAATATGTAGATGGCGCCCTCTACACGTAGGAGTCATGTTGACAACAAAATAAGATTTCTCATATTAAAAACTCCCAGATACCAATTTTCATCCAAAGAACATACTTTTATACGAACTTTTTTACTTATTTTATCTACATACATACATGCTGGCATTACTGGCTGACGAGTATTTGACACGCATCAAAAGATGGTCACGCAAGGCGTTTTCTTTCATGAGCTTTTCTGTTACTGAAAAGCCCGATACGTGATGTTATCTGTCTACCGCACTCCAGACATTCAAAAATCTCATTACTTTGTTGCCTCTTTACTTTTTGGTTGTCGCTGTTATCTGAGTTTACAATTCTTCTCCGTTGAATTCTATTGTGAACTGCTTCTTCCCAATGATTCTGCATGTTAATGACCTTTAAGTTTTCGTGGAAAATTTCCTTGTACCTTTTGAGTTGTCCACCCGGCCTCCTCTTACCGTCTACAAGCTCACTATAAAGCAGAGATTTTGATATGCGGTTTTCTTGCATTCTGCATACGTGACCAGCCCATCTTAAGCGGGATTTTGTAACCATGACTTCAATACTCTCGCAGTTAGCTTTTTCAAGGACCGATACGTTTGAGACATGATGGAACCACCGGATTTTTAAGAGTTGTCTAAGGTGTCTCTGTTGCAACTTGTTTAATGCGTTCATATGTCAGCGGTACGGCACCCAGGTTTCGCTCCCATATAACATGGTGGAGATTATAATTGCTCGGTACACTGCAAGTTTCGTTTTTGTACTCAAGTCATGATTGTAGAAAACCCTGTCTTTTAATTTCCAGAATGCTCTTGAGGCGCTGCTAATCCTGTGCTGAACTTCAGAGTCGATATTTTCTATTATTTTTTATTTTATCTGCTGCCGAAGTTTTCCGAATACAGTTCGGGCCACCCTGTATAGCACTCTTGTTAATTACAGTTAAAATTAGGAAATCTATCTACTATCTACTAGTTAATTAAAATTAAGAAATCTTCCTATCTAGTAAGTACAAAAATTAAATAAATTTTAATATAAATGATATTCGAATTAAATCATGATAAAAATAGTTTTCTCTCAAACTAAAAAATCTTGAAAAAAAAGTACTTGATTGAGCTATAACTATTAATACTTGAATAATTTTCATTAGCTAATAATTATCAATATTCATAATTAAACAATTATAATAAGTGCATCAAACATGTTCTGACATAGCGCGAAATATCCCGAACCTATATAGTTTCGGTTTCGGCAAAATTGCAGCCGAACTAAGCCGAAACCCGTTATTTTTGCAGAAACCGATATTTCGGTCCTACATTACTTCTTCCTCGTCCCGTTGGTACTTTAATACTCTTTTCTACCTACGCTTATGGGCGATCCTTAAATTGAGTCGTACTAATGGTCGTACTGAGCAGAATTCCCTGTTTTATTACTCCGCACCATTTAGAAAGAGACTTTTGTTCTGCCAACAACTACTATATTTAATACCATGGTACTTTAATACCCTTTTCTACCTACACCTATGGGCGATCCTTAAATTGAGTCGTACCAAAGTCGTACACGGGTCGTACTAATGGTCGTAGCGAACAGAATTTCCTGTTTTATTACTCGCACCATTTAGAAAGAGACTTTTGTCGTACCACAGATTAGGTATCCTATAAGTATACAGATAAAAATCTTGTCCCTAATTCGTGGTACGAAAATTGTTTTTTATGACGATGTGCAAACGAGTAAAATTTCCTGTGCGCAAAAATAAACTCGCGTAAAATAACAATAAACAGCGTAATAGAGAGATATCGCTGAACCGAATAGCGTGCATGGACGTTAATAAGGCCAGGTGTTATTTCCTTTACGTGAGGTGGTATTAACTCTCTTCATTTATAGTTATCGGATCGGAAAGGATTCTGTTCGCGTCGCGTCCGCTATTTAAACTTAACCTAACTTTGAATTTAAAACTTTGAAATTGTTTTGTTTACTAGGTATTTTAAAACTAAAGGGCTAAAGTGCTTATTTCCAGTGCTTTATTGTTCAACGTCTGCCAGTGGGTTTAGGGCAACAAGCAACAAATTCTCTTAAAAGGGCTAAGTCGTCATCTGCTGTAAACCTAAGCATCTTTCGAAAAATTGACTCGCGCATATCGTAACCATGACAAGGTACGCGTAAATCCTGCATGACGCTATTCGGTTTTCCGATATCTCTCTATTAACTGTGCCGGTCAGGCGCTGTGCACAATTTTAGAGGCCATAAGTGGGCGTGCTATGTGCGCAAACTAGTAACCTAACTAGTGCCCGATTCCGAAAATTCGAACCACGAAAAACAATAAAGAAAAAACAAAGATTATAATCTGCTGTGGTCGTACCAACAACGACCAAGTTTAAAAAGTACTATAATTATTATTTTAATATATAAAGTGTCATACATCCATGAATGGGCGTAGCTTAATAAATGTCTTTTATTTTCAGATATCAATGAGTGCGACGATCCTGCCATTGCTGCCAGATGTGTGGAAAATGCCGAGTGTTGCAATTTACCATCTCACTTCCTTTGCAAGTGCAATCCTGGATTTCGAGGCGATGGAGAGGTCCAGTGCCTCGGTAAGTTTTATTGCTTTCTTTGAATAATGTATTAATAAGTATGCTACTTAAGCTCAAAATATAAATGTTTAATTAAAGACTTAAAAAAATTATTTGTCTTGTCAAGAACATTTTATTTTTAATGTTAATGCAAAATACATATATTTTTATCCACAACATTAAATGCAGAGTAAACATAATTTTTTTATTATATAAGGATTGTTTCTCGACCGTACTTTTAGTATAAAGGATAAAATATCAGGTTATATCGGTCTGTTTTCATTCAATGTCACTCATTTATTCATTAAAGCCTCTATATTTCGTTAGTGGTTACTAACATCATCAGGAGGTACCAAGCTACATGAAACATTATTTTTTACAACAAAGCAATCCAGTAAACAATGCAAATATACAAGATAAGTTAACTACGTTAGTTACGTTTACGTTAGTTTAACTACGTTAAGTTAACTACATTAGTTACGTTAACTCTTATCTTGTATATTTTGTATTGTTTGCTGGATTGCTTTGTTGTAAAGAATAATGTTTCTTGTAGCTTGGTACCTCCTGATGATGTTAGTAACCACTAACGAAATATAGAGGCTTTAATGAATAAATGAGTGTCATTGAATGAAAACAGACCGATATAACCTGAGATTTTATCCTTTATACATAATTTTTTATTTATGTCAGAATGCCAGTTTTATATCCTTTTAAATTATTTTCCAATTTATAAATAGATAGGTGTTTCGCAATTTTATCCTGAATTTAATTTCTAAAGTTTCATTCAGAACCTCGCAATTAGTGGAATAAATTAGTGGTTTCAATTCCACTTTTTATTTTTTCAGTTTTCAGTTGTATCCATAGAGAAAGACTAATATTTAGCTTATAAAACAATCAATTTTTGATTTCTAACCACAATTTTTCACAAGAGGATAATGAAAGACCAAAATGACATTTCTCGAAAAGTTTGAAGTATAATTAGTGGAAAATATAAAAGTTTAACAACTTTTTCTACTAATTGAAAATGTCTAGCACTAATTTTGATGTTCTATGTAAGCATTCAGAACGTCAAAATTAATAATAGTGGAAAATAAATCAAAATACAGGGTAGTCCGAAGTGTATTCCGGAAATTTCGGCAACATATTCTGCAGTCAAAAATAAGTAAAAAGGTTCGTATAAATGTATGTACTAGAATGCTCAGTTTTGAAGATACAGGGTGTAGAAATTTCTTTTTTATTTTGATTTTTTCCAAATAATTTCTGAAGTAACGTCAATATTTGACTGAAAATTGGTATCTGGGAGTTTTTTGATATGAGAAATTTGATTTTGATGTCAATATGACTCGTATTTTTAGGGGGTCGCCACCTACATCTGTTTAAACTATTTTGAAGAGTAATAACTTTTTTTCCGTACCTGTATAAAACTACTGAGTGAAAAAATACACATTTCCGTAATTGTTTGCGTACAAAAAGTCTCTCAGGAAAAATCGCTATGAGCAACCGTTGTCAAGATATTTAAAATGGAAATAGTCTATACATGTCATTATTGACGAAAAATAAACATGTTGTGTAAATATTTATTTGACTGAAATTATAAATTTGGAAACTTTTTATTTTTTTAAAATTAATCATAAATTTTTCGTCGAAAAATGATGACAAAACAGTTTCTGTTGAACTTTTGGCACAAAAACATTTCAAATTTATGATTTCAGTATAATAACTATTTAGTCCACTTGTTTAATTTAAATCAATAGTGACAGGTATTAATAAATACGATTTCAAATATCTCGAGAACCATTACTCGTAGCGATTTTTACCAAGGGATCTTTTTTACGTAAAAAACGCCGTAAATGTATATTTTTTTATTCGGTAGGTTTATACAGGTACGGACAAAAAGTTATTACTCTTCAAACCAGTTAAAAAGTATGTAGGTGGTGCCCTCTACAAGTAGGAGTCAGATTGAAATCAAAATCGAATTTCTTATGTCAAAAAACTCCCAGACACCAATTATCATCCAAATATTGACGTTACTTCAGAAATTAATCTGAAAAAATAAAAATGAAACTTCTACACCCTGTATCTCAGAAACTGAGCATTTTAGGACATACATTTATACGAACCTTTTTACTTATCTTTAGTTGCAGAATATGCTTCCGAAGTTTCCGGAATACAGTTCGGACCACCCTGTATATTATAGTAAAAAATAATTGCTAATAGACACACTAATCAATAATCCTAATATTCATAACAATAATAATTCTAAATAATTATAGAAATAATGAAATCGTTTACTGTAATTAAAATTAAACATATATTTAGATATCGACGAATGCCAACAACCAAACATCTGTGGACAAAACTCTCTGTGCCAAAACACCCCCGGAAACTATTCCTGCGTATGTCCGGAAGGATTTTACGGTAACCCCTATGACGGATGCGTGGATTTAGACGAATGCCAACAACCAGGAGCTTGCGGACCAGGTGCCATATGTACGAACGTAGTGGGAGGCAGGCAGTGTCATTGTCCACAAGGTATAATTTTAGTTAGGTTTAAGAAAATGCTAGACATTAAAAAATATAGCTGTAAGCAAATTTTTTATCTACACTCAAAAATACCCTGTATTTACCGATTGGGTATACAGGGTGTCCCAGGCTGAGCGTGCATTACTAGTTTCTAGATAACTATAACATCTAGCTCGGAGATTTTTTGCACATCATAGTTTCACAATGAGATCTATCGATTAAAAATATTTTCATCATGGCGACACTTCCGGAAATACCGGAAGTTGACAGCAACTTTCTTATTTTAAATAAGTGCCCCCATGTCAGCTGCCGCCATTCATATGACATTTGAACAATTTTTTTGACAGGTAGTTTTTTCGTCCAAAAATTGTAAATATTTTTTTCTCAAAAACGGTTCATGTTAGATATAGAGTGTTTAACATCAGTATTCATAGAATTTTATAGAGAATTTAAGTATGTAAAAAAATGGGGGCACCCATTTAAAATAAGAAAGTTGTTGTCAACTTACGGTATTTCCGGAAGTGCCGCCATATTGGAAATATTTTTAATCAATAGATTTCGTTGCAAAACAATGGTGTGCAAAAAACCTCCGATCTAGATATTCTGTTTCTCTAGAAAATTTTAATATACCAGGTGTTTGCTCATCTCTTATTCCAGGTATCCATTCTGTATAGTGTGTTAGGTCTATCGATAAAGTCCTTGGTACTTCTGAATCTTTCAAATCGTTGAACATATAGATTCCTTCCGTTACCGATTAAATCCGTTTACTCTCAAGAATGTCAAATTTGACATTTAAAGTATTAAATGGCTAAAAAGTGGGTTTACTGGCCAAATTTTGGAAAAGCTTTTGTTTTTTTAAATTAAATTAACTTTAATGAGAATGTTATTGCTTCCTTAAATTTATACAGGGGTACCAAAAAGTGCTGATTTATTTTAATTTTATATAAAAACTTCGTTATTTCAAATGCAACACCCTGTATTTTTTAAAGTAAATCGAAGCAGATTAAATGCTATTTCAAACTATATTATGGTTTCCTATACCTATCTAGCTCAGATTTTGAATAAAAAACGATTTTTCAATAAAATGGCAATCAAAAAGGCCATGACATTTTTCTAGTGACAGTTATAGTAACTATTTTCAAAATCGAGATTAGTTTATGCACATTATTATTTAGATTTGTAAGAATTTACTTAAGTTTACTACAATAGTTTAATAAGTAACTATTCATTATTTTATCAAGAAAAATAAAGCAGTATCTGCTGGCGTTACGAATGGATATGTTACTAGTAAATTTATTTTGTGAAGAAAATTGCTTCTTGTCCTCAAGGGCTTATGCTCAAAGATATTCAAATAGGAATCTTCCTGATAAACGTTCCTTTTTTTGAAAAACTACTTGTCCTATATCGCAGAGCTAGTACGGTGGTTAAAAAAAAACTATTAGGCAGAAACCTGTCGTTAGAAGTGAAGAAAAAGAATTTGCCGTAATTGGCTCTTTTATAGAAAATCCCTATATCTACAAGTCATCGTAAAATAAATCAAAGAACTACTTCTTCGTTTTTCTTCATACAATAATAAATGCGTACCTATTCAATAAATATTATTTATTAAACTGTTGTGGGTGAATCAAATAAAAGTAAACTGGTATAAATTTAAATAAAGTCCATTAACTAATTTCGATTTTGAAAATAGCTACTAACTGTCACTAGAAACTTGCCATCACGAGACTAGCACTCTTGGTTGCCATTTTCTTGAAAGATTGCTCTTTATTCAAAATCTGAAATAGATAGGTATAGGAAACAATATAGTTTGAAAGAGCATTTAAATCTGCTTCGATTTATTTTAAAAAATACAGGGTGTGTTATTTGTTAGTTTTTATGTAAAATAAATATTTAAAATACACCAGCAATTTTTGATATCCCTGTATACATTAAACGAAACAATCAAATTTTTCAGTAAAGTTTATTTCTTTGGCTTAAAAGTCATCACAAGAATTAATTTTATAAATCAATGTACAGAGAGTTGACAATGTTTTTTATTATAACATGCATATTTAAATATCTTTAAATATCTCAAAAACCAAAGCTTGTAAACATATTTAACCCTTATAATAAATGTCTTATCTTGTGTCCAAGGATCCAAATATGAAATAAAATACCGGGTGTTCCAAAAGAAAAATATAACTTTGGTGTGGATCTTACTTCTGACATATCCTGTACATTTCAAAATAATTTTAAATTATGCACATTGTCTTCCCACATATACCCATAAAATATTTTGTTTGTACATCTTTCCGTTTTCGGATAATCAACCGAGACGAATGAGGTGCGCCACCCTGTACATATTTATATATAATATTATGTTTCTTCAGGTTTCGAAGGTGATGCTTACACAACAGGCTGCTTAGATCTTAACGAATGCGCAAGAAGTCCCTGCGGTCGGAACGCCCTCTGTTCCAACTTGGAGGGTAGTTTCAAGTGCTCGTGTCCTCCAGGATACCTAGGTGACCCCATGACAGACTGCTCAGGTATATATCATCTCATCATCTCATTTATAACACTGGTGTACATACATGTACATACGAATAAACGTGAGTTAGTACCAACCTTTAAAATGCAATTTTTTTGTATTTTAAAGATTTGTAAATAAAAACAAACACGTGAAGACTGATTTTCTTCTTCCCAAATTGTACAAAATATGTGTATATTAGTTTAACACAATAAATATCTAAAACTGTAGAGAAGATGACCTAGAAAACCAAGTAGAATTATTGCAGATTTATTTGGACTAGGAAATCAGTTTTGTATTAAAATTAATATTTGTATATTATATTTCATAACAAATTAATAATTAAATTTATAATATATCAATAAAAACTAATTTATGATACTAAGAAAATATTTATTTTTACTAAAATTACCCCCTAACTAGTTTTAAGTTCAACTAAAATTAATAAATGCTTTAAAAATATAATGATATAATAACGCCACAATAACTTATTTGATATACTTAATTGTGTGTATTTCACCAATCATTGAAGAAAATTATTTCTTCACGTGTCGAACTAACTCATCGTTTATTAATGGGAACTGCTTTGATTTGTTACTTAGCTAAAAAGATCTAACAATATGTTTTCTTTATTAAATACACACCAGATTGATGATTTTTTTTCTGTTACAACACGAATTATTTTAAAATATGATTTCAGTTAGATTCATTATTTTAGAGACTTTTCATCGTTCAATCTATTAATTGTCTATTAGTAATGCTGACAGATTATTAATTTAAATACGATTGTAAAAATCACTAGATTTTTGGTGTTTACAAAAGTACCCCATCAGACTTTCTTAAAATTTATGAAATATGGTTTGGTGCCTTAATTTTGGTATGCTAATAATATCTATACCTAATGACCAGTGCCTGGAAAAATCCTGGATATTTTGCCACTGAAACATAAATCTAAGTTTAAAAAAAACACTTTTTTTTGTAAAATGCCACTGCGTTAAAATCCAAACGGAGTTAGTCAAATTTCCTAATGAATAAAAAGACACTGACTTTCTGAAAATAGTTACATTTTAAATAATTTTCTTCATTCTTTTCATTTTTTGCTTATGACCACTGAGGGAGATATACTTTCTGAAACACTAAGTATTTTCTGGATAGGAAAATTTCTAATGTTCTAGTGAACCGATTTTTTAAGCATTTTGTAGCTAAACAATTTAGCTTTTTAGAATTTCATTCTAAATTAAAATGGAAGTTCACATCTGTCAGTTATACGAGGAAAAACAAAATGTTGATATTTTGGTGAAAGTTTGAAACATCCTGTGGAATTTGTTAACAAAACAAGGGATTTAAAAATAATTTTATTAACTAGATGCATCATTTCTCGATAGTTTGTTTTTTGATTCTTCTCAATAGCTTTATTTTTTTGAGATATTCGCCTTTAAAAAAGACACTAAAATTTTTTCGCAATTTTTATATTAAAACTATGCCTTTGCTTTTGGTTCTCTTCGACAGATCTATAAAATAGTGTTTATGATTTATATAATAGCATTGTTATTGAAAAATAGTATATTGTTTTATTAGGAGCAAAAATGACATTTTTTGCGGCGAGGCTGTACGTTTGACATACAGCCGAGGCACAAAAGTCATTTTTACTCCGAATAGAACATGTTATTTTTTTTTCGAATTTTTAAACAATTTTAAACATTCCAAATAATATAAAAAAATTTAAAAGTCATACTTGGTCATACTTTGTATGTAATTATATTATATCAAGAAACTATGGTTACGCTCGTTGAATTTGATACTTTGTGCCAGTTAATAATATATTTCCGTACTTTTATGCTTAGGCGTTAAAGTGCTTTACTTTTATGCCTAAGTGTTAAAATGACTTTTTTATATTGTCAACAGTCATGATACAAAGAAATCAAGGTATGATATTGCGCAGGTCGGTTACTACGTCACAGGTGATATCGACACCATTGGTCGGCACGTACCGCGCGCCAATTTCAAATCGTCAAATTTCAGATCTATAAAATAGTGTTTATGATTTATATAATAGCATTGTTATTGAAAAATAGTATATTGTTTTATTAGGAGCAAAAATGACATTTTTTGCGGCGAGGCTGTACGTTTGACATACAGCCGAGGCACAAAAGTCATTTTTACTCCGAATAGAACATGTTATTTTTTTTTCGAATTTTTAAACAATTTTAAACATTCCAAATAATATAAAAAAATTTAAAAGTCATACTTGGTCATACTTTGTATGTAATTATATTATATCAAGAAACTATGGTTACGCTCGTTGAATTTGATACTTTGTGCCAGTTAATAATATATTTCCGTACTTTTATGCTTAGGCGTTAAAGTGCTTTACTTTTATGCCTAAGTGTTAAAATGACTTTTTTATATTGTCAACAGTCATGATACAAAGAAATCAAGGTATGATATTGCGCAGGTCGGTTACTACGTCACAGGTGATATCGACACCATTGGTCGGCACGTACCGCGCGCCAATTTCAAATCGTCAAACTTATGACACATAATAAATGTGAAAATGAATTTTCAAAAGTCAAGCTCAATGATTTGACATAACTTTTGAGGTTATGTCTTAATTCTTATCTATTTTAGGTCTTTTTTTATTAGTGGCAATTGAATATAGATTTTTTATATGGCGTAGTGACGTCACAGGTGACATGCGCAAACTGAACAAAATTGGATCGATTGCAATCGATCATACCTCATTTTCTTTGTATCATGGTCCACAGTTGTCAATCACGTCGCAAAAATTAACACTTTTGTGACGTTTGAAAAAAAATTGTTATTGTCTGTTAAGTTACTCAAGAAGAGATGGTTTTGACTCCAGAAGTTGGTCTCTACCAGGTTCAAGTAATGCAACAATAGTGGATACAACTTCTGAACTTAAAACCATCTCTGCTTGAGTAATTCCCAACAAACAATAAAAATATAACTCGAGAAGATGTACCTAGATGATAAAATGATGCTTAAATTCCTTGGTTTGTTAACTTAATTTCACAAGCTGTTTCAAACTCTCACCTAAAATCAACATTTTGTTTTTTCTCGTATAATGGACAGATTGAAACTTTTTTTTAAACGTTTTTAATTTAGAAAGATATACTAAACAGTCGAATAATTTAGCTACAAATTGCTTAAAAATCATCAAAATTGACCCACTAGAACAAACATATTAAACTTTAAAATACACCATAATTTTATGGTGCCCGTTTTTCGTACCGGTGATTGTATATTATAGTTGGATCCCATGTTGTAACAGAAAAATAATATTATTTTATATCAGTGTTTTTTCGAACATAATCAAAGCAGATCTCAAACCAAACCCAAACCACACGCCTTCTAAACCCAAATAACCACGGCGCCATGGAGCCTTACTAACCCCCGCTTTCGCCCCGGGCAGACATTAACGAATGCCAATCGAACCCTTGCCCCGCCATCGCCACCTGCCTCAACACTAACGGCAGCTACACGTGCCGGTGTCCCGAGGGATACGGCGGCTCCGGCTCGGAGGAGTGCGTGGACGTCAACGAGTGCGGCAAACCGGGCGCTTGCGGCATTAACGCCAAATGCATCAACGTTCCCGGCTCATACAAGTGCCTCTGTCCCGCCGGATTCACAGGCCAGGGACACCTCTATTGCGAAAGTTAGTTGCGCACGGCATCCGTGCATTGTTGCGATTGATCTCTTTTCTAATTGTTGTCTTTGGTATCGTTGAATGATCACGATATGTTTATGTAGACGTAGCCTGAGGAATGCTGATCCGATTTGCTTATTGAGGTGAAAGTCTAAAAAGCTAAGAGCATTAATCCTTTTTATATCGCTTGTTTTTTTCAAAATCTATTAATGTACGGTGTGCTCTATTTTGGTGGCAAATGAGGGTTATGTGAATTATTAAAAGAGAGAGAACCTTGCAGTTTTCACGAACAAAATTGTTATACTTAGTCTTCTTAGTTAGGCAATGGCGCATATACGGGAGGGGTAATGGGGGTAGTTACCACCCGCCAAGAAAGTGGTTGACGAATAAGATAAAATGAAATATAAAATAAATCTATAACAAAAGAAATTATTAATAAAAATCAAAATAGAAAATTCAGACAAATCCAAGTATATTCTTTTCCACAGTTACAAAACATTTCAACGCAAATTTAATTTAAACCTATAGTATACTGCCACTATCCCTCCTAGACTTATTCTATACAGTGTGGCCCAGAAATAAGTACAGATATTTTAACTGGTAGTATACAGGGTGGGCCACTAAAAACTTACAATGGCTATAATTTTTAAACCAAAAAAGATATCAAAAAAATAAAAAATACAGTTTTTGGTTTGGATAATATCGAGGGGGAATATATATGACGTATTTTTTGAACCACCCCGACCTACCCCTAAGGCGGCACCACTACTCACTTGAAAATCTTAAATGGTAACACCCCACGTGTGATCATAAAGTTTTTAGGGTGAAATTGAAAAACTACCCCTTACACGAAAAATTAGGTGGACATTAATGAGAAAAGTAATTTTTTCAGCATAAGTTACAAATTGGGACCCAGCTAAATGAGGTTTTTCTCAAACTACCCCGACCCACCCCTAGGTGCCACCCCCTCACTTCTAACCTCAAGATAGCGATACCCCACTTGTGACACCTCTTTCGACTGTCATAAAAAAGAACGAAAAAAATAGAGCCTAAAAATAAAACAAAAATGTCAAAACGTATCAAAATCAATAGAATGAATTATTTTTGTATCCATGAACCATTGCGGGAAAAAAAAGATGGTACAAAGAAATTTATTATAACTCTTAATGAAGACCTCATACACTTTCAGCAAGATGGAGCCCCTTCGCATTATTCTATTGTCACAAGGCGGTGGTTGGATAAATATTATCCAAGGCAATGGATTGGCAGAAGGGGTCTAATCGAGTGACCGCCAAGGTCACCTGATCTCACTCCTTTAGACTTTTCCTTGTGGGGTTACACTAAATCCATAGTCTACAAAACAAAACCAGGTTCGTTGCAAGAATTGCGGCAGAGGAGAACTGAAGCATGTCGAAATATTCCGAGAGGTACTTTTCAAAAAGTGAGAGAAGGATTTGAAAATCGTTTGTATTTTTGTATGGAACAAAACGGCTGTCATTTTGCGCAATTATTAAAATAAATTATCATTTTAAATTTCTTTCAAATTGTCACACCTACATTTCTTGTCACTAACCAGTAATTAAGTTGAAGTCTGTATGACCATCGTTTAGCAATTTCATTTAGCTTTCCAAAGAAGTGTCACAAGTGGGATATCGCTATCTTGAGATTAGAAGTGAGGGGGTGTCACCTAGAGGTGGGTTGGGATGGTTTGAAAAATACTTCATTTGCGTCATTTAGCTGGGTCCCAATTTGTAATTTATGCTAAAAAATCACCTTTTTCATTAATGTCCACCTAATTGTTCGTGTAAGGGTAGTTTTTCAATTTCACCCTAAAAACTTTATGATCATCATTTAGCATTTTCATGAGCTTTCTAAAAGACGCCACAAGTGGGGTGTTGCCATTTAAGATTTTCAAGTGAGTAGGGGTGTCTCCTAAGGGGTAGGTCGGGGTGGTTTAAAAAATACGTCATATGTATTCCCCCTCGATATTATAGAAACGGTATTTTTTATTTTTTTGATATCTTTTTTGGTTTATAAATTATAGCCGTTGTAAGTTTTCAGTGGCCCACCCTGTATTTCGACCCCAGAAACACACCTATGAGGTTTTTTTCGCAAAAAAATAGTAAATTTGGAATTTTTTGAAAAAAAAATGGATTTTTTTTTTAGTTTTTAGTTAAAAAACATTATTTCTTGATAATATGGCAACATAGGTAGTAGATTAAATTTAGAAGAAAGAAAACCCAGAAATGATACAGAGGTTCTCAAAATTTAAGCAAAAAATCATTTTTTTTTAATTTTCAAAGTAAAATAACCTAGTTATTTTGGACTTATTTGAAAAACGGTAAAGAGAAAAACCAGCGGGATACCGGACGCGATACCCATATTGCGACGGGCAGAAAACAATGTCCTTACAATCAATGAAAAAAGTTAACAAATGATCCCCAACGTGCAAGATTACATTCATATGTAATCATGACCGGAAGAAGAAGAAGAAAGAGAAATATGTTTCTTTTATAGAGATCTACCACCCCTTAAAATATATGTATTTGTTTCTGGGACACCCTGTATAGTTCATATCAAATAAACTTTTAGTCACGTGATTAAGTTTGAAAGGCACATATTTTCTTTTAATCAAAATATTTTAAGAAACAAAAATAAACTAATATAAATTAAAGTTATTATTTACATAAAAAAACTCACCTCCTTAACAGCAGTTAAGAGACATAAAGAGCCATTACTACCGCTTTCCCGTTCAAAATATTCTAATAAAGTTGCAATGAGTTTTTACGGCTATTAAGCTATCTTGTACCACTTCGCATTAAAAGAGGTTCTAAAAAGAACAATATTTGACTGCAAGGTCTACTAGTAAAAACAATTTAAGCTTAAATTATCACAACACAGTTCATTTAAACCAAAAACTCGTAGTACAAAACTAAAATGTCAAAATGAATGACAATGCCAGAAAATAAATAAATACATGTGGCAACTTGACTTTTTTTACAGCAGAGCTACCACCTGAATTTCCGGCGGGAAATTTAATTTCCAGTTAGTCAGCCCTGAGCCGAATATATCCGTGGTTGGCAAGAATGAATTTACAAGTCGCACCCTCGATTACGTAACTAAAAGTTTAATTGGTATCGAATATATGTATACAGGGTGGCCCCTCATACGCCGCGGAGGCTCCAAGGAGAACGACAGTTTGTATTGATATGAAATTTTGTGAGCATATGTAGGTTAATTCGGAGCACTTTTTAAAAATATACAGAGTTCTACAGGGTGTCCCCAAAAAAACTTACATATCAAAGTTGTGTATTTTGTAATGGAACACCCTATATATTAATTGATTTTCGGGTTCTGGGAGAAAAATAAAGGTGAGTTTTATAAGAGAAGTATATGACTAAAATGTAAGGTTTTTGACATATTTAACATTTTCTAGAAATAAAGAACAATTTTTAAATTACAATAAAAGCTACCTAAATTGGAATTTACCCGGTATAGCCTAATATGTAGTTAAATTAACTATTGTACTTTAAATCAAATTAAAACTTGATCCAAAAAGTTATACTAGGTGAGACAAAATTATTATTGGCCACCTTTAAAAGCGTGTTACTTTTTTTATTTTAAATGAAACACCCAGCTTCTTCAGAATTCATGTCTCTTCAAAATATTATTAAGGTTGCCTACCCCTCAAACAAAGATTTTCCTAGATATTTTCATTTACATGATTTAATCTGAGTAGATCTTTATTATTTGATAAAATCTAGGTGGCTGTGATATGTGTGATGTTACTTGAACATGGCTGTCTAATTAGTCCAACTTTAACAACTAGTTATCATTTTGTGTCAGTGAAAACAAAAAAAATTCTCAGAAATTTGCCGAAAATGCAAGCTTATCCTACATCAGAGAGAATTGATATGATTCTATTAGTTGGTGAATGCAGTTTGCATTCACAAATTAATAGAATACTTAAATGCTCCTGGATTTTATCTAGTCTGGTTTTTTATGGGGATATGTTAAAGACAGTGTTTACAAAACTTCACCAACTATTGTCGACAACATCAGAGAAATTATTGTAGCTGATGCTTTTCGAGGTAGAACTCCATATATGCCTTTTAAAATGAAAAGATCCTTTTGAAAAGACAATCATTTTATGCAGTTAACAGGAAAGGAAGCATTTTGAGCATTTGATCTCATCTAGCTAATTTTTGTCACATAGTTATAGGTTTATATCTAGTTTTAATTCTGTAATAATTTAAATATGTTAAAACGTGTATCTTTTTATTACCGTTGAGTATTTTACTATACAATCTTTAATTTTTGTTAAATTAACAAAAGGTATATCACACAGCCACCCTAGATTTTTTCAAACAATTAAGATCTACTGACGCAAAATCATAAAAATTAAAATATCTAGGAAAATCTTTGTCTGAGGGGTAGGCAACTTTAATAATATTTTGAAGATATATAAATTCCCCATTGAACAGCGGAAAAATATACTGGGTGTTCCATTTCAAATAAAGGAGTAACTTGCTTTTAAAAGTGACTAATGTTCCATATTAATTTTGTCTCACCCTGTATAACTTTTCGGGTCAAATTTCAATTTGGTTTAACATACAATGGCTACTGTAATTAAATATCAGCCTATACAAGGTCAACTAAAATTTAGGTTGCTGTTATCGAAATTGAAAATTTACTCTTCATTTTCACAAAATGTGAAATATGTGAAAATCCTTAGATTTTAGGTATATGCTTCTTTAGTAAAACTCACCTTTATTTTTTTTCCTAGAATCCGAAAATTAATTAATATATAGGGTGTTCCATTAGAAAAAGCACAACTTTGATGTGTAACTTTCTTGGGGGGCATCCTGTATAATTCTATATATTTTTAAAAAATGCTTTCAGTTAACCTACATATGCTGCCAAAATTTCATTTCATATAAAGTACCGTTCTCCTTGGAGCTTCCGCGGCGTATGAGAGGCGCCACCCTGTATGTATTTAATAAACAAGGGTCTTTATCTTTTTTATATTTTGTACATTTTATAGAAAAAGTAAAATATTTCTGAGCACAATCACCAAGATGCAGCTTCAATATTTTAATTCCTTAAAACAAATCAACTTTACATCATATTTCGGAAAATTTAGTTATATGATCAATTGGGTTTTGCAAAATGAGTTAATACAAATGACAAGTAGCATACGATCGAAAAAAATCGCCTGGGGAATGAAAATCACATATTATTTTGGGAAGGTAAAGCCTAGACTTGACCCCTACAATTTCTTTTTTTTGGAAATAGATTTGCGTGTCTGGAAACTTTCTATTCTTTCTTAATGTTTCTATAATTAATGTCAATTTATGACAAGTTTTATGTCAATAGTAAATGACGTCTAGAAATTGAAATCGGCAAAATTATCACCGATTGAAATGACAATCGTTTTATTTTTACCGTATGATAAAAATAAAACAATAAATTATACAGAATTACACATAATAGATTTTTTTTTGTAACTGACTCTTATTTGAAATTAAATGATAAGGAGCAGCATTGTTTTGTATGGCCTACTGGCAAAAAAAATAATTAAATAAATTTGAAAAAAGACCGATGCTACTATATATTTTTCAGAAGTTTATAAAAATCAAATTAAATTCTTCACAAATATACAGGGTGTTAAGTTTGAAGAACTAACGATGCCAATTAATTCTACGTAAAACCTTCTTCAAAGAGTATGTAATTTTTATCTTTGCAAAACTTTACCTTGCTTTTTTTACAAGTAGTCGAACCACTGAGATTTGAGATGTTTTCAATATAATTTTCAATATTGCTCTGTATCATGGATACTAAGAAAGCTATAACAATCTTGTTTATCGTATCTGAGATTTTGGAAAAACACAAGGTGATCTAATTATTATTATTTCAAAAATCCTATCTGTGAGCAAAATATGACACTATACTCTTACAAAGATTAACTCTTGCGAAATGGGACTTTCATTTGCTTGACTCCAATGAGTAAATCGGCTTTGTAAACGAATGTAAAACGGTTTTGTTAAAACGTAGCTTGGCCTGTTACTAACTTTCTCAAATATATTCAAATTATTTTCCGGAGATCTGATGATACGTAGAAATTTCCTTACCAATTATTTCATTTCTCGGTGCACTGTAAATGTAATCGTTGGTGAGAACTCTTTCTATATTTCAAATTATCTCCCTGTAAGTGTATTTTCCACATAACAACTTAGACATGATAAGCCTCTTTACTATTAGTCTATTGGAATGATATAGAAAGCCTAACTGTACTGTATACATTTTTGTACAATTCTATTATGTATTAATAATATTATTTGTCTTGCAGCCGTAATTAATTTAGTTTCACTTTCAGCTGGTAAACTCTTCGTATTGTAATTGGTTTGTCTTTACCTGTTCTGTTTCTTTCAGTCTATTCTTCTTTGGTATGAGTAGTTTTTTGTAGTTCGAACATTTTGGTCACGCCTATTATAAAATTTTCTCAGATGTTAACGAGTGTGAGGGAAATCCGTGTGGAGAAAATGCTGTTTGCACGGATACTATTGGAAGTTTCGTCTGTAGTTGCAAGGACGACTATGCCGGAGACCCGTATAAAGGATGTACTGATATAGATGAATGTAGAACTTTGGAGAAACCATGCGGAACTCACGCAATATGTGAGAATGCTGTTCCTGGTTATAACTGTTTGTGTCCACAAGGATATCAAGCTAATCCCAGTCCACAAATTGCTTGTGAACAAGTAAGTTTTTAGTATGATATAGGGTGGCCCGAATTGTATTCGGGAAACTCCTTAAGCATATTCTGATACAGTTTGTAGAAGTTCAATTTTTATTTCGATTTTTTCTAAATAATTTCTGAACTAACGTCAATATTCGTATGAAAATTGGTTTCGAGGTGTTTTTTACATGAGAAATTTGATTTCTACGACTATGACTCTTAATATGACTCTTAATTCTAGGGGGCGCCACCCACATATTCTTTAACTGGATTGAAGAGTAATAACTTTTCGTCTGCACCTGTATAAAACCCATGAGTGATATAATATACATTAATCTACGACAATGTCATTATGACACATTTAACATTGTCATTTGGATTTCATTATGGCTTATTCATAATAACTCTGATAATAACACGCAAATTTTAAAATAAGAAACAAGCAAATAAGGTACCTAAATACGTTTATCTATAGTAAACATTAATTATAATATCAGTACAATTGGTTAAATTAATTCCAGGCGATGACAGGTGAGTTGAATTTTTAGAAAGTAAATTTATTTCCTGAGGGCTTGAACTTGTTGAAGACCCATCATTGCCAGAAATGTTACCCAAAATATTACATGACACTTTTTTCTTATTTTCTTTAGAATTTTCTATATAGCTCTCTGCCACTGTGTTAGAGCGCCAACCACCATGTCTTTTAACAGTTAATAAATCCATTCCTGAATCTGCAAGCAACGACGCAGACGATCTACGAAAACAATGTCCAGTGTATTGTTGTGGATTTGGAAGATTTAGGAACAATGCTATTTTATACGGCATTTTCCCTAGAGGATTAATGCGAACGGGTTGCTTAATACATTTTCCATTTCTGTACCCCACAAAAAATCGAGTATGCTCTGTGTCGCTTGGCCGCATAGCTATATATCTTCGAACCATTTCCACAATATTTATTCCTTCAACATTCCCTTTCGTTATAAAAAAATCTCGTGATATCTTTGTTTTCGTAAATGGAATAATAACATGAATGCATTGTCCTTCATCTTTAACATTTTGCAGCTGCAGATTTATCAACTCGATACGCCGGCAGGCAAGTCCCACTATCAATAAAACTTTTGTCAGGAAATAAGTTTTATCGTCGGCTTCCAACAAAAAACGAGTTATGTCTTCTTTTCTTAAAATTCTCGATTTTTTTGACCGAAATCCTTCCGATTTTCTTTTTAGAAATGCAATTAAATGGACGTACTTACTAATATCTGTATTTTTCATCACTGATATAACTGAACGTAGCATGGAATAATATACCCAAAGTGATGAAGCCTTCCTATGTTTTGAAAGATGTTCAAAATACTATATACTATAGTCTATAAAATGAATAACTTTGAATTTTGACCGTTATTTCTTACCAACACGGCAAATATAAAATCCCTCTATCAAAAAAGTTACTGATATTCTTTAAATTGAGTGCCTGAACGAATCAGATAGGTAACTCTTTTTACTTTCGTGAAATAGAAAAGGAAAATAATAAAACAAGTGATAGTTCATCCTCTTCTACCAAAAATCAACACGAAATGTCATAATTGTCAATAGTAAAATGTCATCAGCTTTTGACATTTCTAAATATCAGACCAATGCCGTCTCTAATAGAACAGCCTCGGAGCGGGATTTATGACGTCACGCTAGTTAGATACTATGGATTAATAAATATGTGTTAGAATACATGGAAAACATAACTATTCCTCGTATTTTTGGTTTGTATTTTAAAATCAATGTTTGTTTTTCAAATACAAACCAAAAATACGAGGAATAATTATGTTTTCCATGTATTCTACAACATATTTATTAATCAGTAGTATCTAACTAGCGTGACGTCATAAATCTCGCTCAGAGGCTGTTCTATTAGAGACGGCATTGCGTCAGCATGGCCGCAAGTTGCTAACCTAATAAAATAAACACTAAAAAAGCCCGCGGGAACTGTCAAATTCAAAGTTATTCATTTCACAGACTATATTCTTGATTCCTTTCCCTTTACACCAATCTTCAAGTTTTACATAAGCTTGCTCGTACGTTTGTCTTGATCCGAAGGGACACTTTCAGAATCAGAATCACCCATATTAATATTATTTTCTGCTTTTTGCTAAAACTGAACGTTTAACACAAAATTGAACATTAATAATTGAGTTGTCAAAGTCAAAATGGAAACAATCAACAAGCTGGGTTACCACGGCGTCGACTAATATGGGCACCTGATAATTTTGAATTTTAATCTTTATGAGGATATCTCTGATATTTTAAATTAAATCAAATCTCTTTGGATCGTCCCTCATGTCGCGTCGTAGATTAAATTTTGAATAATACACGTTCGATACGAACATTTTAATGAAACACGCGTTTCATTATGATGTTTGTATCGAACTTGTATCATTAATAACTATTCCGTCGTTTTCTACATAAAAAAGACTCTTTGTAAAAATCGCTACAACTATGAATGTAAATTATAAATACATGTCATTATTAACAAAAAACAAACATGGTGACTAGATAGATAATGTGCTGAAATTATAAATCTGGGACATCTTATTTTTTAAATTGAACATGAATATAATCATAATTTATTCTGGAAAAAATTATGATGAAACAGTTTCTGTTGAACTTTTAGCACAAAAACATTTCAAATTTATGATTTCAATCTAATAACTATTTACATAGTCAACATGTTTAATTTTTATTAATGTTGTAAATGTATATTTTTTCACACAGTTTTATGCAGGTACGGACAAAAATATATTACTTTTCAAACTAGTTAAAATATGTAGGTGGCGCCTCCTACAAGTATGAATCATATTGATATCGAAATTAAATTTCTTCAAAGAACTCTCAAAATTCAAAGAACTCTCAGGCACCAATTTTCATCCAAATATCGACGTTACTTCAGAAATTATTTGGAAAAAATCGAAATAAAAATAAAACTTCTACACCTTGTATCTCCGAAACCAAGTAGGTATTTTAGGACATAAATTTATACCAACTTTTTTACTTATTTTTGTCTCCAGAATATGCTTTAACGATCTCTTTAACGATATGCTCATCGGCACGAAAAACGGGCACCTTAAAATTTTGATGTATTTTAAAGTTTAATATATTTTGTTCTGGTGTACCGATTTTGATGATTTTTTAAGCAATTTGTAGCTAAATTGTTTAGCTTTTTAGCGTCTCTATTTAAGTTAAAAATGAAAGTTCCCATCTGTTAATTATTCATATAAACAATATATCGATATTTTGGTGAATGTTTGAAATACCCTGTGAAATAATCTAGCAATGCAAGGAATTCAAAAATAATTTTATCATCTACATAGGTACCTCTTTTCTCGATGGTTTATTTTTTTGTTCATCTCTATATCTTTATTTTTGTTGGAGATATTCACTTTTAAATAAAACAGTAACGATCTACAACAATTTTAGCATAGATTTTGGGTCCTCATCAACACACTTATAATAAAATAGTGTTTACTGTTTTGTAATGTCACTGTCATTGAAAAGTCATATTATTATTTTTTGTTGGCGTTAACTCTAGCAGAGATGGTTTTAAGTTCTGAAGTATCGGCTATTACTGCTTCAATTAATCATCAAAATAATATATCTGCTAGGGTAACTGCACAACAGACAATAATAATATGATTTTTCAAAGACAATGACATTACATAAATCATAAACACTATTTTATAGGTCTGTTGGCTAGGACCAAAAGCAAAGACGTGGTTTTAATATAAAATATACGAAAAAATGTTAGTGCCGACTTCAAAAACGAATATCTCCAAAAGAAATACAGCTATTTAAATGAATCAAAAAACAAACTATTGAGAAAAGATACACCTTGATGAGAAAATAATTTTTACATTCCTTGCTTTGTTAACGTACTCCACAGGGTGTTCCAAAGTTTCACTAAAATATCAACATTTTGTTTGCCCTCGTATAATTAACAGATGGAAACTTTCATTTTTAATTTAGAAAGACATACTAAAAAGTTAAAAAATTTAGCTACAAATTGATTAAAAATCATCAAAATCGGTTCACTAGAATTCTATATAAAACTTCAAAATACATGAAAATTTTAAGGTGCCCGTTTTTCGTGCCCGTTAGTGTATATTTGAAAAGGAAGTTTCAAATTCATTCACTAATAAAAAAAATGAATTGCGGTCTGCAAATCAATTTTGTTATTGCGCATTTATTATTAATTACTTATACCTACCAATATTTTAATTTTAGATTGACGTCAACATTCTTTGTCAATCTAACTTCGATTGTACCAACAACGCGGAATGTATAGAAAATCAATGTTTCTGTCAAAAAGGATTTACCCCTAAAAAGGCAATATGCGTCGACATCAACGAGTGTAATAATAGCACCAACCCATGTGGACTGAATTCAAACTGTTTCAATTCTGTCGGAAGTTTTCACTGTGACTGCCAAAACGGATATGTGGGAGCACCACCCATGGTACAATGTAAAGCTCCATGCGATGATGTAAAATGTGGAAACCATGCCTATTGTAAGCCGGACGGTGACGAGGCTTACTGCATTTGTGAAGATGGATGGACATTTAATCCAAGTGACATTTCGGCTGGTTGTATAGGTAGGTATTTAAATAACGTTGGATGTTAATCAAAATGAATCTGATATACCTACCTCTAACATTATTTTTAGCCCTATTTTCATGAATATTTTAGCAAGCTGTATATATCTGTATATGTCAAAGTTTTATGAGTTGTTTCTTGGATGTTGTGGCTATAACGTAATGCTTCTACAGGAATATGTCTTAGGTGCATGTATTTTCATTTCTTTACTGAGAGTTCTCAATTTCTTTGCACTACTACTTCCAAGACATATTCCTGTTGAAGCATTACATTAAATGCGAAACGTCGAAAGATTTTTGTTTTAATTGACCATAGCCATAACACCCAAGAAACAACTAATAAAACTTATTATATAAAGGCTCAAGAATAATTACGTTCTATATATATCTTTAGCAAGCTGTATATCAACTTTAATTTGTAAACTCAATTTTTTATAAACTTTAGTATTTGGCATATTATACAGGGTTAATCGAGGGGTTATTTTTTTACCCTAACTTTGACACACCCTGTGTGATAATTTCGTGTGCAAATTTTCCTAAAATATAATTTTACGGCCAAAACCATGTGTCCTGGTGTCCATTTTGCTTTTTGGATCATGTCAGTACATGCCTTGGTTAATTTTTAAGAGACAAATGAAATTGCCAAATGAATGAATGAAAATTTGCAATTTTTTCAGTTATAATTTCTTTTTGAAGTTTTTTTTTCAATATTACAAAGCCGCTTTGGTGATTATTGTGAACTTTGGCCACTTTGGTGAGTATTTGCTACTATGAACTGCCCATCATGTTCGATGTTTAGGAAATCAAAGTATTTGGGCAGGAGGGTTCAAAGTCGCGAAGCGGTACCAGCTTCATTAAATGAATTTTGCTTGGTCCTTAAAGAAGAACGGGAAAGCATAACGCAATATGATATATGCAGTCTCAACGACAGTATGAATGGACGTATAGAGGCAGTTATAGCAGCCAGGGGAGGCAATACAGATTATTGGGGTATTTTTTACATTTTTTTGTTTGTATACTTCAGTATTACAGAGATGTTTTCTTTAATATCGTTAGTTCTGTTACCGTAGTTAATGTTTACGTTAGTCTTTAACTTTTTGTTAATTTAGTATAGAGTATCCGATGCAAAACCCTCTTGTCATATGAAAAAATTACATCAAAAGTAATGATATTTGAAAAAATTGCAAATTTATCGTGATCAGTTCATTTCGCTCTTAAAAATTAACCAAAGCATGTATTGACATGATCCAAAAAACCAAATGCTCAGGAGACATGGTTCTTATCGTAAACTTATATTTTAGGAAAATTTACATACGAAATTATTACACAGCGTGTTTTAAAGTTAGGATAAAAAAACAACCCCTCAATGAACCCTGTATAATATGCCAATTACTAAAGTTTATAAAAAAATGAGTTTACGAAATAAAGTTGATATAATTATATACAATTTGCTAAAAAATTCATGAAAATAGGGCTAAAAATAACAAAAATATAACACTTTAAATTTGACCAAAAATCTCTCCCTTGCGTTTTTTACAACTGAGTGTATTTTGTATTTTTATAGATATCGATGAATGCGATAAAGCTAACGGACCAAGTGGGCTCTGCGGACTTAACGCATTATGTAGCAATCTTCCCGGAACGTTTGCCTGTCAGTGTAAAGAAGGATTTACCGGCAATCCTAACAAACAATGCAGTGACATTAACGAATGTTTACAAAGCAATACTTGTGGCATAGGAGCAGCTTGTGATAATAGTCCAGGAGGATACACATGCTACTGTCCTGAGGGAACAGTACCTGATCCTGACTCAAAAACAAAATGTAGCGAAATTGTAACTTGTTCAGGCAATAATGATTGCCCTGGAAATGCTATTTGTGATGATAAACAACGATGCTTATGCCCTGAACCTAATATTGGAAATGACTGTAGACGTACGTTTTTATACCGTGCTGGCAACTCATACTTTTGGGTCGGTACTTACAGGTGTGGAAGTAAATCGTATAGGGATCTTATTAAGTCGGAGTGAGAAAAATGCGTCGGTGTGCTGTTGCGGCGTTGCCATATTTCTCCGGTACGCCTTTCCCTATCAAGTAAAATAAAATCACGATCGCAAATGGTTTATTTTTAAAAGGAATGTTTTATTTGGAAAAGATAACTAGATAAAGTCATTAGAGATGTTTCTGAGCATCTGAAATGGAATTATAAAGATATCGTTAGGGTGTCCATTTTTTTATAATTAGAAAACGTCAGTAATCGCGGTAATTTAAAAACTCAACTTTATAAAACATAACACGCCATAACTCAAGAACCACTTTAGATATTGAAACTTTTTTTTATTTTGAAGTTCGTATCTTTTACAAGATGTTTAACTAAGAAAAATTCGATCTTTCCATTCAAAATTAAAAAAAAACGTCCATTTACTTTTCGTGCATAGCAATTTTCAGCAATGCTGTAACTTTCTTATTTGTAAAGATTTTCACATACTGCCTGCGAAGAAAATATAGCAAAAATGTTAAGAAAGTTCTTGAAAAAACTAGAGTTCTAATAGCGCGACCACTGTCGAACACCAACTCAATTTCTCACTTATTTTTACCAAAAGGGCAAGTGTTTCTAACTTGCACTTAAAACTTTACAAGCTATAGGGAAAATTACAACGACTCGTTAATACACAAACAAATAAAGTATCACGAGACGTAATTAAATCGTAAAGCACGGTGTACACCTTTCCCTAGAATTTTAAGTACTGAAAGGTACTGTTTGGGTCGACCGGTCAACCCCGACATATCTGCTATATCTCCTTCCGCGTCTCTTAGCAATGTACACAGTTTCTCGGTTTATTTCATACGTTTGGCAACATTTTTACTGTTCTCTCTTTGTTCAGTACATTATAAACGCCTTTGTATTCTTCTTACATACGGAAATATCGACCCAAAACTAACCTTTGCCAGCCCTTAGCATATTGCTTTGTAGTTTGTTTCATTATTAACTTGTTTCCTTTCAGATCCATGTGAAATAATTAGTTGTGCTCCCAACGAGGAATGCTTACTTGTAAATCACATTGCCACATGCTTCTGTAGTTCAGGTTACGTAAACACAACATCCGGTTGCGCCGATATTGATGAATGCGTCAAAAACCCATGTCAAGATGGTGCGATCTGCAAAAACGAACCGGGAACATTCTCTTGTCAGTGTCCAGGCGGAACATCGGGTGATCCTTACAGAGATGGATGCGTCCGAGTAGCACCTACCCTTAAAGAATGCTCAGCGTACAATCCATGTCCGTCTGGTGAGCAGTGTATTTTGGACGAATTAACTAGCAGAAGTGTTTGTATTTGCGTGAGTGGTTACGTTCGAGATGACAAAACCGGAAAATGTAGAGATAATGACGAATGTACGGAATTTAGAGACAAACCGGCATGTGGGATCAATGCTATATGCAAAAACCTTCCCGGAAGTTATGACTGTCAATGTCCGCCTGGATCTAACGGAAACCCATTTCTGGAGTGTTTGGAATGTAATAGTCCTGATTGTAAATGTCAACCGCCATACGAACTTAAGGACGGTAACTGTGTTTTAGGCCAGTTGTAATTCCGACGGCACTTGTCCTAATGGAGCTGAGTGTATTACAATCACAGGTGGTGTAAGTTACTGTGCCTGTCCTAAAGGATACAAGTCATCAACTGATGGTAGCTGTGAAGATATCAATGAATGTATGGATCAACATCAAATATGCGGCTATGGAGCAAAATGTATTAATCAACCAGGTTCATATGAATGTCATTGTCCGGAAGGATACAGTGGAGACGCATATAACGGGCTTTGTTCTCCAAATCAGAAAAAATGTATCAGCGATAAACAGTGTCACGAGAATGAACGCTGCGTCCAACCTGGTGAATGTGTCTGTCCACCACCATACTTTACTGATCTACAAGACAGTAATAAATGTAAAAGTCCTTGTGAACGATTTCCCTGTGGAATTAATGCCAATTGTACACCAAGTGATCCACCAATATGTAACTGTAAACCAGGTTTTGAAGGCGATCCCCTTCAAGGCTGTATGGAAATTGATGAATGTAAAGACGAACCGTGCGCCTACGGGGCACACTGCCTGAATTTAATAGAAGGATATAAGTGCATTTGTCCTAAAGGAATGACGGGAGATCCTTATAAAGGTGGATGCATTCTTGACACACCAGGCACTGTAAAATCCGAATGCCAAAGTGATACAGATTGTGTGAAAATTTTAAGCTGCCAAGATGGAACATGTATTAGTCCTTGTGCCACGGTTCGATGTGGATCTAATTCGCGTTGTAGGCCAGAAAATCACAAAGCTATTTGTGAATGTAATGCAGGTTTTACCGTCAATGGCAAAGGACAATGTGTTTCTCGTAAGTTGTTTAAAAATTACGTATGCATTCCTCATTATTTTAAATATCTGTAAATTTCAGCTTGTGATGAATTTAACTGCGCACCTGGAGCTCAGTGTATTGTTACCACAACGGGTCCTACTTGTAGATGTGTAGAAGGACTAATAGGAAATCCCTTCCCAGGAGGCCAGTGTGTTACGGATGTATGTTCTGCAAAAAATCCCTGCGAAGACCCGAAAGTTTGTATAAGCGGTCGTTGCAAACAACGTTGTCAAGGAATAATTTGTGGAGTTGGTGCCCACTGCGATAAAAACTTAAACAAATGTGTTTGTGACTTAAACCTTGTTGGAAATCCTGACGTGATCTGTATGCCTCGTAAGTTATTTCTTTAATATCATAATTATTATCAGTAATTAGATCCTTGTTTTAGCAAAAATTGGACCATCATGTAAACCAGCGTGTGGAATCAATGCTCATTGTGAATATGGTCTTATAACAAATGAATGCGTTTGTAACCTAGGAACTTCTGGCAATCCATATGAATCTTGCAAAAAGATGAAAATCGAAGAGCGTAGAGGATGTACGGCTACATCTTGCGGGGCAAACGCGGACTGCGTAAACACTTTTAACGGATTTGATTGTTCTTGCAAACGTGGATATGGAGGAAATGCATTTATAGAATGCAAAGATGTAGATGAATGTAAAAACAATGTCTGTGGAGATAGCGCAGTGTGTATTAATACTATAGGCAGTTACGACTGTAGATGTAGAGAGGGATATGCTGGTAATCCGTTTATAATGTGCACACAAGTCCAAGGAGGTATATGCAGAGATGCGAAAAATTGCCAATGCAATAACAACCTTTTATGTCCCAATGGGTATTCGTGTCAAAGAGGACAGTGTTTGGATCTTTGTTACAACGTTCACTGTGGTCCAAAATCAACCTGTAATAACGGACAATGCAAATGTTTCCCTGGTTTTACAGGCAATCCTAATAATACAGAAACTGGTTGCCAAATTGAAAGTCAGTGCACAAGTGATTTGGATTGTACAAACCAAGAAATTTGTTTCCAGTTAGGAAAAGGAATTCGCAAATGTGTCGATGCATGTAGTAAAGCACAATGTGGCCCAAATGCCCTTTGTGTTACTGAAAAACACCGAACAACTTGCATTTGTAAGCCGGGGTATAAAGGTAACCCTGGAGACTTGACTACAGGTTGCCAAATTGAAGAACGAGTCAACCCCAGGGAATGTTTTACAGATAGCGATTGTAAATTCGGAACTATTTGTGGTGTAGACAGTAACAGTGTCCAAAAATGTATTAATCCTTGCGACATGGTTGCTTGCGGTCCATACGAAAGTTGTAAATTGGATATCGAAGGTCACCCAACTTGTGCTTGTAAAGACCAATATTTATGGAACCCCGTAACGTCAACATGTGAAAAACCATCAGTCCCAGAGTGCAAAAAAGATACTGATTGTGAATCAATTTCTTCTTGTCAACCGGATGCGCTTGGAATTATGAAATGTGTTCCGGTTTGCCTTCAGTTCACATGCCCAAATAATTCAGCGTGTATTGCTGAAGCTCATAAAGGCCAATGCCAATGTTTCGATGGATTTTCTGGTAATCCTAATGAACGAACTGGTTGCCAGTCAATTCAAAAAGATTTATGTGGCTCAAATTCTGAGTGCTCCGAACAAGACATTTGCCAAGTAGATATCAAAGAACAAAGACGCGCTTGCGTCTCAGCATGTACGTCTGTCAATTGTGGTCCCAACGCCATATGTGTGGTTAATAATCATGTCGCCAAATGCCAGTGCCCTCCAGGATCTTATATTGGAGACCCGAACGATTCATCAATAGGTTGTAAAGCTGTGCCTTGCGTGTACAATATTGATTGTCCACCTACTCAACTCTGTAACAGGATGACCCATACATGCCAAGATGTTTGTGATGAAGAATCATGCGGCACTAATGCAGTATGTATAGGAGTTGATCATAGAACTTCATGTCAGTGCCCTCCAGGATTTTCTGCTAATCCCAGTGCAGAAGTGGAATGTGTTTTAGTAAATGCTTGCAAATCAAATCCATGTCATAATACAGCCTTATGTCAGCCAAATCAAAATGGATATAATTGTATTTGTCCAGAAGGTACTATTGGAGATCCCTTTGTTACGGGATGTAGACCAGAAGGAAATTGCCCTAAAGGAGATTCGGATTGTCCGGATAATTCCATTTGTTTGCAAGGAAACTGCACCAACCCATGCACACAGGTATCTTGCGGTCCAAATGCAGTGTGTAATATAGTTGACCGTAAAGCAATTTGTGGTTGTAATATTGGCTATAAATCCGCAGAAAGTGGTATTCAAGAGGGATGTTTTCGAACTGTTATTACCTGTACGTCCGATTCAGAATGTGGAAATGAAGTTTGTTATAAAGGACAATGCAGGCCGGTTTGTAGAAACAACGACGATTGTTCCAAGGGAGAACTATGTGTAAATAACAAATGTGCAACTGCTTGCGCGGATCATAGTCAGTGTCTCAGTAATCAAGCTTGCTTGGAGGGTATGTGTACTATTGGATGCAGAAGTAATAAAAATTGTATATCCGAGCAAGCCTGTATTAACAATCAATGCCAAGATCCTTGTCAAAATAAAGATGTGTGTGGACCAAACGCTCAATGTTCGTGTAAAAACCATAAAACTATATGTAAATGTCCTTCCGGTTTTCAAGGAAACCCTACTCCAGAGCAGGGTTGTATCCGCATTCCTGTTCTATGCGATAATAAACAAAAATGTCCGACTAACCACAAGTGTTTTAACGATCAGTGCACTTTAACATGTGAAGGTAACACGCAATGTGCAATTGGGGAGAGATGTACAAATAAAGGATGTCTAAAAGTTTGTTTTGCTGACAATAACTGCTTAGCGGGAGAAATTTGTCAAAATGAAGTGTGCCAACCAGGTTGTGCTGCCGATACCGACTGTAAAGATTCTCAATCTTGTATTAAAGGCAAATGCAAATGCAATGTCGGCTTTACTGAAACAGCTCATGGATGTATCGATATAGACGAATGCGAAGCTCATCCGTGTCACAGAGATGCAATTTGTAAAAATAATTTAGGATCTTATATTTGCACATGTCCTGATGGTATGGTGGGCGATCCTTATACAAGCTTAGGTTGCACTGGGCCTGGGTCATGCAGATCAGACAGAAACTGTCCAGATAATTTAGCCTGCAAACGAGGAAAATGTAGAAATATCTGTGATTCGTCTAAATGTGGAATCAATGCACTATGCGAAGTAAGAAATCATAAAATGTCATGTGTATGTCCAGCTGGTCATTTGGGCAATCCTTTTGATAAGAATCTAGGTTGTTTTAAAGTCGAATGCATTGATAACGATGATTGTCCAACATCCAGGTTTTGTAATGCTCACTCTAACAAATGCTTAGGTAAGTTTCATTCTGTAAATAAATAGAAAAAAAAATAAATAATTAAAACTTTTATAGTGCCCGGCAATAGTGCGTCGGGCATCTGTAGCTCCTAGAATAAAAAACTTGAGAATTTTGTTTAAGGGCAAACCTAAAGTATTTAGAATTTAGAATTTAGAATGAGTGGGAGGGGGGTTAATCACTTCGACCTTACAGATCCATTGTGTCCCCCTTTCTTGAATCATAACTCATCATACAGTCCCAGGGCTTTGACAAAAGCCAGTATCTGGGACGGTTTTATAGAGGGTAGTTCTCCATCTCCAATATCAGTCGTACCAAAATTCATGGCACGAATGGTTGTCGTCTCGGCGCACTCATTGATGAGGTTACCAAACCTAAAGTATGTACGAGGATGTATTTCCGGAAAATATTTTAACTTCTACAGGGTTGCTCAAAAAAGTGTTAGTGGATGGGGATGATTTTTTTAAACGGAACACCCTGTATATTATTGCATTTTTAGCTTCCTCTCATATCACTTTGCATAATCCTAAAATATGAGTAATTATATTTCGAGGGTTTCACAGATATTAATAAATAAATAAAAAATATATATTTTTCAGCCTTTCTTAAAAAAATTATTAAAAATACAAGAAATGTTCTGAAATCAAAACTATATTAGGTATTTATTTTAGATTGCCTGTGCTTACTTTGCAATAAATATGGTAATCGTAAATTATACGGGGAGTTCAAAATTCTACGCCAAACTTTTTAAAATATAAACTTTTTCTTCGTTTTTTTTAAATGGAACATAAATTTTAATAGTTTCGCAGATACAAGCAGTATTATTTCATATGGCTCTTACAACGGTAAAATACGAGAGAAAAATCAATGGGTGGCTTTGATATAAATTTACTGTGGAAAATGCCATATGAAATATAAAACCGCGAATATCTGCGCATTACAAAAAATGTTCATTTTTTAATTTTCTATCTATTGAAAAATAATATACAGGGTGTTCAATTTAAGAAAACAAAGAAAAATTATTTTATATTTTAGAAAGTTAGGCGTAGAATTTTGAACACCCTGTATGATTTACGACTACCATATTTAGATCAAAGTAAGTACAGACCATCTAAAGTAAATACCAAATATTATAGTTTTGATTTCAGGACAGTCTTGTATTTTTAATATTTTTTTTAAAAAAGGCTGAAAAATATATATTTTTTATTTATTTATGAATATCTCTGAAACCATCGAAATATTATTACTCATATCTTAGGATTACGTAAAGTGATCTAAAAGGAAGCCAAAAATGCAGTAATATACAAGGTGTTCCATTTAAAAAAATCATCCTGATCCACTCACACTTTTTTGAGCCACCCTATAGAAGTTATATTTTCCTGAAATACATCCTGGTACATACTTTAGGTCTGCACTTAAACAAAATTCCCAAGTTTTTTATTTTAGAAGCTACAGATGCCCGACGCACTATTGCCGGAACCTGTATTTGAAGCATTTTCAAACAGTTTTACCTTTTTTTATTAACTTTATTAAAATGATTTTCGTCAAGTTTTTTATTGTTAATAATATTATAATGTAATAATATTATCAAATTAATTCCAAAACAATTTTTGCAGATCCTTGTGATTTTATTGATTGTGGTAAAGGTGCATGTTCTTCTGAAAATCACGATGCAGTGTGTATATGCTCTGAGGGTTACCACTTAGAAAACGACAAATGTGTAAATATCAACGAGTGTATTGAAAGTAATCCTTGCCATCCTACTGCCCAGTAAGTATTAAATGTCCATGATGTTTAAGGAACTTAATTTTATTACATTGGTATTTACTTTAGATGTATTGACACTGATGGTGGATTTACCTGTGTTTGTAATGAAGGTTTGGTAGGAGATCCGATAACCACGGGATGCAGAACAGCTGGAGATTGCCTTACTGACTCTGACTGTCCATCTTCTGCATACTGCAACAATGAGATTTGCCAAAACCCATGTGAGATAACAGGATCCTGCGGTCTTAACGCAAATTGTATACCAGTTGCTCATAAAGCTTCTTGCAAGTGTCCCGACCGAACTAAAGAAGATGCAGAACACAATTGTATACCAATCGAATGCAGCGATAATAATGACTGCTCAAATGAAAAGTCATGTATTGACTCAGTTTGCATTAATCCTTGTTCACTATCCAACGTTTGTGGAAAGAACTCCCAATGTGTAGCACTAAATCATCTAGCAACATGTGCTTGTGAAGCTGGTATGACTGGAGACCCTCACTTAGGCTGTGTATCTGTGCAATATTGCGCCAACGACAACCAGTGTCCTCAAGGTTTAAATTGCTATAACGGGATTTGTACATCTTTATGTGGTAGTCAGCGAGATTGCATCACAGATCAACTATGCATTCAAGGATATTGCCAGCCTACCTGTAAAACAAATTCGTCGTGCCCGCAACATCAATTTTGCGTAAACAATATATGCCAGCAAGAAGTACGATGTCGTACGAACAATGATTGCGATCACTCTGAAAAATGCTTAATAAACTCTCGTAAACAACCAGACTGTATAAATGCCTGTGAAGGTGTTATTTGTGGACGAAATGCTGATTGTGTATCTGATAAACATAGTGCACGCTGTGTTTGTAAAAAGGGCTTCAAAGGAGATCCCAATAATGAAAAAGAAGGATGTCAAAAGATCGAATGCCAAACTAATGATGAATGCTCTAGTGAAAAACTTTGTGACGAAAATATGTGTAAAATTGCTTGTTTAGTACATAATCCTTGTGGCAAGAATGCTTTATGTTCGGTCGAGAATCACAGACAAATTTGTTATTGTCAGCCGGGGTATACAGGCGACCCCCATAAAAATTGCGCACTAATAGATTTCTGTGCTGATGAACCCTGCGGACCTAAGTCAATTTGTACTAATTCCAAAGGTTCTTTCAAATGTCAGTGTCCAAATGGTCTGATTGGAGATCCATACAATGAAGGTTGTAAAACTGCAGTAGAATGTGTTAAAAATTCAGATTGTCCACAAGCAGCGTTTTGCGATAAAAAGGAAAATAAATGTAAAAGTGTATGTCAAAATGCACAATGTGGTGCAAACGCTGAATGTATATCTGTAGATCATGTAGGACACTGCAGTTGCCGAAATGGTTACGAAGGAAACCCTACAGATTTAAAACAAGGATGTCGACCTAAATTAGTTAAATGCAAATCCACTCTAGAATGCCCAGCTAATACGTATTGTTATGGAAACACTTGTACACCCCCTTGCAAAATTAACGACGATTGTTCAACATTTGAACAGTGTGCACAAGGACAATGTCTTAACCCTTGCAGTCTACCAAAAGCATGTGGCATGAATGCCCAGTGTGATGTCCTTAATCACCAGAAGCTTTGTACGTGTTCTGAAAAGTTTATAGGAAATGCTACTACTGAATGTATTAGATGTAAGTTTTTTCCTTTTATTAGTGTATAAAAATATTTATTTTTAATATTTTTTAGCACCCATGACATGTTCTTCTCACATAGAATGTCCATCAAAATTCACATGTCAGGAAAATCTTTGTATACCACAATGCAAATCTGATCTGGAATGTGCCGCTAATGAAAAATGTCTTAAAGGAAACTGCATGCTAACTTGTCGCGTAGACAACGACTGTTTTCTGGGACATATATGTGCAAGAAATATGTGTAGATTTGGTTGTCATACCGACGACGATTGCGGCAGTAGTGAGACCTGTTCAAACAACAAATGTTTAAACCCTTGTAATACCAGTCCTTGTGGTCCAAATGCACATTGTTCCGTTTCCAACCATCGTGCAATTTGTTCCTGCGAGACTGGATTAGTGCCAAATCCCACCCCTAAGATAGCTTGCGTACGGACCCCTGCCGAGCCTTGCTTACAAAATAGCGACTGTTCTGACAGCTACATATGCAAAAATCAGTTTTGTAGAAATATTTGTTCATCTGATGAGGGATGTCTTAATAACGAACGTTGCGAAGGTGGAGTATGTAAACCAATTTGTAGAAAAGATGACGACTGTAGGAATGGAGAAATTTGTGAAGGTATAAAGTGCGTTGTTGGATGTAGAGCTAGCACAGGTTGCCCATCAGAACAATCTTGTGTGAATAATAAATGTATTGATCCATGCTCATCTCCGACGGCTTGTGGTACTAATGCAAAATGCAGTGTAATAGATCACAAAAAGATTTGTCAGTGTCCAGCACCATTAATAGGTGATCCAGGTGAAATATGTGAACATGAGTTAAAAGCTTGTTCTAGTACAGGAGATTGCCATAAAGATGAAAAGTGTGTTACAAATATATGTAGAGCAAATTGTAAAATGTAAGTAATAAAAAGAGTAACATAGCAAGTAGTGGTGTTATAACATTTATGTTTTTTAGAGATAAGAACTGCTTAAGTAACGAGCGTTGTATAAAGGGCAATTGTCAGCAGATATGTAATTCCGATAGATACTGTGGAGATAATCAAATATGTGAAAATCGTTTGTGTATAGTAGGTTGCCGCAATGATTCTGTGTGTTCAGATGGCGAAGCTTGTATTAATAATAAATGTCAAGGTAAGCTTAACACTTCGTTAAATACATAAAGTCGTGGCACATCAAAGTTTTATTTTTTTAAAGGGAAACCCCTGTATATTATTGCATATTTCGGTTCTTTCTTCAATTCTAAGCAAAAATCGAAATACACACAATGTACCTCAAACCAACCGTTTCCGAGTTATTGACTTTTGAAAATATCACTTAAACAATTCCAGTTAATTAATTTCGATGTGTTCGGTTTCATTTAACGATACCATTCTGCGGAAACTGTGATACATAATAATATTTGGCATTAGTTTTCAAATTAGCATTTATATATGTATGTATAAAATGAGATTATATCAAGTTTGGAAATTACAAAATTTTCGTTTAACATTTCAAAACCAAAACTTTTAATTCGGAAATTATTGATAGATTGGCTCCATTTAAAAAAATGAAACTTTGATGTGCCACGACTTTATGACCGACCCTGTATACTTAAATGTATTACCCGCTAATAGATATTTAAAAACCCTATAACTTTTATATTTAACTTTTTGCGGTACCTCTTATATTTTATCTATTAATCGACCGTCCCCATACATATCAGCGACCCCGTATTTCTCCCCTAATGATTTCTCTTTTCTTTTAAGATCCATGCAAAGAATTTACAACGTGCGGTGTATGTGCTAGTTGTACAGTCAAAAATCATTTAGCGCAATGCAGCTGCCCGACCAACTTTTTGGGCGATCCTTTGATATCTTGTGTCCAGGCAGCTATCAAATGTAATGATCATTGCGATTGTGATGAAGCAGGATATTGTACGAAAGTTTGTCGAGCAAATAACGATTGTTCCTGTGGTGAAGCATGTTCGGGCGGGCAATGTAGAAGCACATGTTCAGCAAAATTAGGATGTGCCCAGGGACAGATTTGTTCAGAAGGTGTTTGTGTTCCAGGATGTATTTCTGACAACGATTGTTCAAATTCAGAATCGTGTCAAAAAGGGAAATGTGAAAATTTGTGCAAACAATCTAATGCATGTGGAAAGAATGCCATTTGTCGTGTGGCAGATCACAGAAAATTATGTCTATGTCCAGACGGTTACCAAGGTAACGCAGATGTATTCTGTTCTGTTTCCAAATGCCGAACAGATAACGAGTGTGACCTCAACAAAAAATGCGATAGTAACGGAGCATGTATCAATCCCTGTTTGGAGAAAGGCGCTTGTGGTGCTAACGCACAATGCAAAATCGTTGATAGAAAGGCATTCTGTTCTTGTCCTCCAGGGTTTATTGGAAATGCACTAGTAGAGTGCAAGCAAGGAGGTACAGATCCATGTCTTAAAAATCCATGCGGACATAACGCTAAATGCAAGAACTTACCAAACGACAACTATGAATGTACGTGTACCCGAGACTGTGTTGGTGATGCTTATAGAGGTTGCGAATGCGACAGTAATACTGTAAATTTATGTAAGACGAAGCGTTGTGGTGTTGGAGCTATATGCAAAGTCCTTGGAGGCAAACCTCAATGTGCTTGCCCCTCAAATATGCCAGCCGGTGATCCTACGATTGAGTGTAAGTCTTTCAATACTCTATTGCTTTGATGTTTATGTAGATATATTTATGAATATTTGAACTTATGAACACATGAACTTATGTCTAACAAAACGTTATTTTTGATGGATAATAAAATTCATAAATATTTTTCCGTTCACAATGTTCAAAAAAATACTTGTTTTAAACAATTAGTAATAATATTTAACTTTTTTACTAGGTTCTCTAAATGTAGCTGCTCTAGATTGCAGAACCGAAGGATGTGGTAAGAACGCGGAATGCATACGAGAACAGGCATTCTTCGTATGCCGTTGTAGGCCTGGATTCTCGGGCAAACCCGAACAAGAATGCCGCAGGGGTAAGCTAGAACATTTGGTTAATGAAAGTTTCCCGTATAATTATTATACTTGCTTACACGTTTTGTTGTATACAGTACATACAGGCTTCTTCTTGTGATTGTAATTATGTTGTGTTTTATATTTTGATTATTATTCTCCGAATTTACATCATCACATAGCCAGAACTTGTTTTTAATTTCACTGACATCATCATTGATACAAAACATTTAAATAGCGATTCCTTTTTATAAAACTTATCAAAACCAGTTATAATAATTATTAGCACAGTAAATTTTAGTATTACCTAACAATCTAATTCTAGATGACAAGACAATAATATATTAAATGGACAGTTAATTATGGTTACCCCATTCAGTTTTTATTGTACTTAAAAAAAGTATTTACAAAAATAAAAAATGTCTATACCTATGTGGCGGATTCATCTTTCCAAAAAATCCTATATGGGTATTTCGCCACTGCAAGAAAATCTACAAAATAAAATAGTTATTTTTTGTAAACACTTCTGCGTTAATCCTAAAGAATAATATTTTTTTGTATATCTGTAAACCTAACTTCTGACAAGTAGTTTCCGTTTGGCATTAACGCATAAGTGTTTACAAAAAATAACTATTTTATTTTATAGATTTTTTTGCAGTGGCGAAATACCCATATACGATTTTTTCGGAAAGTTTTTATAAAAAATTTACAAAAATATTATAATATATACAGGGTGTTTCAAAAAACGTGTGCCATCTCTCGTGTGGAGATTCCTCTTATAAAAATAAGATCTATTTGTCATATTAACCTGGGTCCGATTCTGCTTTGTTTCGTAACTACAGGGTGTTAAAATTTTCATCTTTTTTCGATTTAGTTACGAAATATTTTTTCTTTTTAATATGAAAAATAAATCGTGAGGAATCTCCGCACTAGGGATGGCACATGTTTTTAAAATACCCTGTAGAATATAGAAAAAGTTTCAAGACCAAGCGTGCTTTATATGATGAGACAAAAACAATTCTTATGGGAATTTACATCAGAAGTTTCTTAACTTCAAATTGCTGCCAATGTAAAAGCTTGCTTGTCAATTGTGATTCTAAATGATCACTAAATGTCAGTTATTAATTAAATACAATCAAATATCAATTAAGTAGTTTAACTGAAATAGAATATAGTTATCTCGATATGTTTTTTATTCCGTTTATAAAAAAATTAACATTGACATAGAGTTATAACACTTTTTGATGGTACCATTATGTTATCTAACGAAACAATATCGTCTAATTAATATATTACTAATGTATTATCATACAGAATTATATTAGATGCTTTAGAAATTACAAAATTTATTGTGCTAGTTAATCGCATTTCCAAATTTACACTAAGTTGAGAAGGGATTAAGTATCTTAACTTTCAATTAGCTGTGAGATGATGTAAATCCTTATGCAAAAGTGCACATACCTATTAAGATGGTAGCGCATTTAGATTTTCCTTGTGACTAGTACTATACAATATTTGATGGTTTGGTAAATTAATATACTTGTGTTTGTATATATGAACAAACTTAGCAACCGTCATGTGGAATGTACACTTCAGGGTTCCAATCTGCCTATCACACAGTCCTGAACCGAGGACCCTATATCTATCATCCGCCACATTCCACACACATTAACACCTCGGTGATGCATGACTCATAATCGCCGTTTTTTTTATCCTATTTGCATAGCACGTGCGGTTTTGACAACTGATTAGTCAGATTGGGAACTATGAAAGGAGCATTCTCACATTGATCTGTAAAATAGCCTCTACTCTTGTATCTTCGGCTGAGAGCTGTATTGCGCTTGTAAATATTCGCAGCTTGCGTGGTCGTGTTGAGATGGCCTCTTTCATTCCTCTCATTCTCTGACTATCTTGGTCACACCCGCATGTAAATATGGCGCGACAATCGCCCAACTCTCTCTTGCCAATTTCTTACCGAGCTTTATTTTCTTTGTCCCACGATAATGTAGCCGCCGAATGTAACACTGACACCGACTGCCCCGACCAGAAAGCTTGTCTCAACTTCCAATGCGTAAACCCTTGCTCCTTGAAAGGCGCTTGCGGCGAGAACGCCCTCTGCAAAACCATTCAACACCGGCCGCGCTGCTCGTGCCCCGAGTGTCACGTCGGTTCTGCGACGGTGTCGTGTCGTCCAGACCCCAAATGCCTAGAGACGCACCCGAGACCGGCGGGGGTTCCCGTGTGCTTCGCAGATTCCGATTGCAACGCCACCTTGGCTTGCGATCTCCGTTCCGGTAGATGTTACGATCCTTGCCCCGGCCTCAAGTGTGGCAATAACAAGAAATGCGAGGTGCACTACCATCGACCGACTTGCGTATGCAAAAGTGGGTTTATGGTGAACGAAAAAGGAGAAATTTCGTGCGCTCCCGAACACTCGGAGTGTGTCGGCGACAAAGAGTGTCCTAGTAATAAGGCTTGCATAGAGCAACTGTGCCAAGACCCGTGCACGACCGGCACGACATTGCCTTGCCCATCGGACAAGGGCTGTGACGTAGTAAACCATAAACCCGTATGCATTTGCCTGAAGAATTGTAGCCCTTCTCTGTCGATTTGTTTGAGAGATAACGGCTGTCCTGCAGAGCAAGCGTGCAGAGCGTTCCGATGCGAGAATCCCTGCGACACAGCCAATTGTCCGGAAAATACCCCCTGCCGTGTCGAAGACCATAAACCCGTGTGCCAGTATTGCCCCCCAGGATATAAACAAGACTCGAAATTTGGATGCCTCAAAGGTAAAAATAACACCTGGTGCAAGGACTTAGCGCTCGCCGTTAGGCGGCGAACACGATGAGCCTCGTTGCTTTCCGTTTACTTTGCAGTAATAGACCCCTTTTTACTATGCTACATCGTTTCTGTGGCTTTCATTCCAACATAAGTCGCCTGGAAAATGAACTGCATTCATCGAGATCCTCTTCATTCTTCTCATTTTTTGGTATTTAAGGATCTTTTATTCTTACTCTAATTGGGTCTTTTCCTCTGATCTACTCATTTGATTCTATTAACTTTATTATTACCTTTCTCTTTTTCTATAACTTGCCTTGTACAAAACTATTAAACAGTAAATCGTAAAATTTTTCATTTGAGCTTTTGAACGTTTGGTGTTAGCTGTTAGTCCTGTCGAGTAATATGTTTTATGCTTTAATTAGACTTTACTGAGAAGTGTTACACTCCTTTAGCTTGTCCGCGTTATAGATGTAAGAAATGGTAAATTGTTCGTTTCTGACGTACAGCTAAATGTATAGTCAGCATGACCCAGTAGACCGTTGTGTAAATATGTAAATAAAATATATTATGCTTGAAATAACGCTTCTAATTTAGATCTGCTACATCACGTAGATTAGTATTAAATGTAGCGTTTGGGTAAAAAACGGTTGGAGAAGTTATAAATATTTAATAAACTGTTTATATAGATGTGCAATGCCGATCTGAATCAGACTGCACGTCCCAACAATCGTGCATAAACAGGAAATGTCAAAATCCTTGTCTTGTATCCAATCCTTGTACGAACTCTCAAGACTGCCAAGTACAAAATCATCAGCCAGTATGTGTTAAAGGTAATAAATTTAAAATTTAACGCCATAATTTTCTCTATGGACAAAATTGAAAATATTTTTTATTTAGTTTGCCAATGCCAGCAAGATAGGGATTGTGCTCACTTAGGACAACGATGTGATGGTTGTAATTGCGTAATAGGTAATGATATACATTAATTTTTTAAATTTAGGTGACAAATTTAAACATTTAAAATGTTTAAAAGAAAAGAATCAAAAAGAAGATATTTTGTGATAATGTGATACATTCATATAGTTCATATCAAATAAATTTTTAGTCACGTGATTAAGCTTGACCGGCACAACGTTACCCACTTTTACATATTTTCTTTTAATCAAAATATTTTAGGAACTAAAAATAAATTAATTATAAATATATAAACAGTTGTTATTTACATCAACAAATCTCACTTCTTAACAGCACTTAAGGGACATAAAGAGCCATTACTACCGCTTTCCCGTTCAAAATTTTCTAATAAAGTTGCGATAAGTTTTTTACGGCTATTAAGATATCTTGTACACTTCGCACTAAAAGAGGTTTTAAAAAGAACAATGTTCAACTGCACTGTCTGCTAGTAAACATTTTTAAGCTTAAAGTAATACAACACTATTTATTTAAACTCATAATACAAAACTAAAGCGTCAAAACGAATGACAATGTCAGGAAATACATAAATATATACAGCGATTTGACATTTTTTACAACAGAGCTGCCACCTGAATCCCTAGCGGGAATTTTAAATTGCACTTATTCAGCATGGCGCCGAATATGTCCATGATTGACCCTCGATGACGTAACTAAGAGTTTATTTGATATAAACGGTAGGTTAAACATTTAAACATTTAATTTTTTAATCAAAAAAAGGATTAAAAGTATCTTCCTTTTGTGATACATTCATAAATGATTATAGAAATAATAAATACCTTTGAATTGGTGTATTTATAGAAACCTCAAGAAATCCTCAATGTTCTCACTGCCCACCTGATGTTCCTTGCGATCCACTAACGGGAGCCTGCCAGAAAGGTAAGTTTATTTATTTATTTTTTTCGTTACGTACATGGTGCACTTGTTTTACTCTATTATGTGATATTAAATTTAAAAATAATTTGAAGTTTCGATGATTGAGAAATCTGTTATTGAAGCGTTTTAAAAAAACAAGTTCACCAGAATTTCATATTTGTGTTGCTGTTTTTTTTAAACATCATTGCCCTACCCAATATCCTATCCTATGAGGGAGATTTTATTATCACCGAGAGAAAAACCACAAGGACTGGAAAAAAACGGCCTATCATCGGTTATATGAGAAACACTGGATATGCGAAATATCAGCGATATGGACATGACTGATAAGTTTCTATTTTGCAGCTCATTTAACTGTACATTCTTCCTAATTAATTCATGTGTTATACGTTGTAAATTTTGGAAATAGCAACACTTGTACCATGTAATTATTTTTATATAATCACGGATTCATTGTCGCCTATAGCAATATGTCAAGCAGGACTGATTATTTTTTCTATACAAAGTGACCGTTTACTGGTTTCACGATTTATTTCTTCTAGTTTAGTATTGTATATAGTTACTTATAAGTTGGTGCTGGGGAAAGCTATGGTGCTAAACGCTTGCGAATCATTGCATGCTAGTCACAACACGAACATATCTACACATAATTTATAAATAATGTAATATAGCTAATTTACACGTAATGATTTGTTTTAAAATAACAGATATGGTTACAACACCAGAAACACTAACTGAAACACAATACCCAATAACCAATGCTAGTTCCGCTACTACTCTAACATCTAAATCGGAAACGGAGCTAACTACCACTAGTAGTGCTTCAAGCGAATCGACGACACAAGTTCCAGAAATGTCAACGGAAAGAATTGCACACGTTTACCCTGAAACCGAAACCACTGCGAAATTTATTACGGTAACACCGCAATACCCCTCTTTTGAACAAACAACTGGATCACCTGATAGTTTAACAAAAGAATCTCAAGAAGTAACGAGACTAACCACAATAAACTTGAAAATCACTACAAGAGAACCCGTAGAGGAAGAAACAACTGTAAGTGGTGCAAATTTAGAGAATGCCACTAAAACAACTAATGCTATTTTATTCACGGAAGAGACCGATATTTCAAATTTAGAAACATCTACAATTAAAAGTGAGAACTTAAAAACAGATCAGCCTTTAGAAGTAGAACACAGTACTAAGCATTTAGTACTTACTACCGAAGGTAGATCAAATACCCGATACCTGGAAGACTCGACAGCTATCGAATCAAATGTCACATATGTTAAAGAGAAATATACAACTAGCAAACCACTTTCAACCTTGCCATTTATTGAAACATCTGCAACAACCGAAAAGGAATATAGTTATTATGAAACAACAATTTCTAGCGATCTCTCTAAAACCGAAACTTCTAAGCATACAACAGAAGAAAGCACTAATTTAGAAGAAACTACAATAAGTACTTCTACTCATTTTTTGCCTACTGCAACTGAGGGTATAACTAACACTGATTTTATAACTGAGAAAACTACTTTAACTGATCAGACAACATATAAATCCTTTTCTACAGAAACAACTACTTCTGAAATCAAACCAAGTAAAAATATTTCCACGTCACAATTTGACACTACTACGATAACAGGTATTACTTCTGAATCTGAGTTAACGCATACTGTTACTCAAACTATTTCAACAGAAACTGCTACTTCAGAAACTGAATTAAGAAAAACCACTTCCACGCCCCAAGTTGACACTACTACTTTGACCAGTATTACTTCCACTGTAAACGAAACATTATCCACCACTGTCCCGACTACACCTAAGCTAAAAGAATCTGAATTAATACATACTGTTACTCCAACAATTTTAAGAGAAACAACTACTTCTGGTATTGAATTACCTAAAACCACTTCCACGTCACACATCGGCACTACTACAATAACAGGTATTACTTCTGAATCTGAATTAACGAATATTATTACTGAAGCAATTTCAACAGAAACTGCTACTTCAGAAATCGAATCAAGGAAAACCACCTCCACGCCCCAAGTTGGCACTACTACTTTAACCAGTATGACTTCTACTATAAACGAGACATTAACCACCACTGTTCCGACTACACCTAAGCCAAAAGAATCTGAATTAATACATAGAGTTACTCCAATAATTTTAAGAGAAACAACTACTTCTGGTATTGAGTTACCTAAAACCATTTCCACGTCACAGATCGGCACTACTACAATAACAGGTATTACTTCTGAATCTGAATTAACGCATACTATTACTGAAGCAATTTCAACAGAAACTGCTACTTCAGAAATCGAATCAAGGAAAACCACTTCCACACCCCAAGTTGGCACTACTACTTTAACCAGTATTCCTTCTACTGTAAACGAAACAATAACTACCACTGTCCCGACTACACCTAAGCCAAAAGAATCTGAATTAATACATACTGTTACTCCAACTATTTTAACAGAAACAACTACTTCTGAAATTGAATCAAATAAAACCACTTCCACGCCCCAAGTTGGCACTACTACTTTAACCAGTATTACTTCTACTGTAAACGAAACATTAACCACCACTGTCCCGACTACACCTAAGCTAAAAGAATCTGAATTAATACATACTGTTACTCCAACAATTTTAAGAGAAACAACTACTTCTGGTATTGAATTACCTAAAACCACTTTCACGTCACAAATCGGCACTACTACAATAACAGGTATTACTTCTGAATCTGAATTAACGCATACTATTACTGAAACAATTTCAACAGAAACTGCTAATTCAGGAATTGAATCAAGGAAAACCACTTCCACGCTCCAAGTTGGTACTACTACTTTAACCAGTATTCCTTCTACTGTAAACGAAACAATAACTACCACTGTCCAGACTACTCCTAAGCCAAAAGAATCTGAATTAATACATACTGCTACACCAATTATTTTAACAGAAACAACTACTTCTGAAATTGAATCAAATAAAACCACTTCCACGCCCCAAGTTGGCACTAGTACTTTAACCAGCATTACTTCTACTGTAAACGAAACATTAACCACCACTGTCCCGACTACACCTAAGCTAAAAGAATCTGAATTAATACATACTGTTACTCCAACAATTTTAAGAGAAACAACTACTTCTGGTGTTGAATTACCTAAAACCACTTCCTCGTCACAAATCGGCACTACTACAATAACAGGTATTACTTCTGAATCTGAATTAACGCATACTATTACTGAAGCAATTTCAACAGAAATTGCTACTTCAGAAATCGAATCAAGGGAAACCACTTCCACGCCCCAAGTTGGCACTACTACTTTAACCAGTATTACTTCTACTATAAACGAGACATTAACCACCACTGTTCCGACTACACCTAAGCTAAAAGAATCTGAATTAATACATACTGTTACTCCAATAATTTTAAGAGAAACAACTACTTCTGGTTTTGAATTACCTAAAACCACTTCCACGTCACAAATCGGCACTACTACAATAACAGGTATTACTTCTGAATCTGAATTAACGCATACTATTACTGAAGCAATTTCAACAGAAACTGCTACTTCAGAAATTGAATCAAGGAAAACCACTTCCACGCCCCAAGTTGGTACTACTACTTTAACCAGTATTACTTCTACTGTAAACGAAACAATAACTGCCACTGTCCCGACTACACCTAAGCCAAAAGAATCTGAATTAATACATACTGTTACTCCAGCTATTTTAACAGAAACAACTACTTCTGGAATTGAATCAAAGAAAACCACTTCCACGTCACAAGTTGGCACTACCACAATAACAGGTATTACTTCTGAATCTGAATTAACGCATACTATTACTCAGGCAATTTCAACAGAAACTGTTACTTCAGAAATCGCATCAAGGAAAACCACTTCCACGCCCCAAGTTGACACTACTAGTTTAACCAGTATTACCTCTACTGTAAACGAAACATTAACGACCACTGTTCCGACAACACCTAAGCCAACAACAGAAGCAATGTACGAAAAAACTGAATCAATACCGTTTTATAGTACCACCAGTAATACAGCTGAATCTACTCTACCAACGTTACATGACACGACTGAATACGTTCCTTATTCTAGTACTACTCATGATCAAGAAGAACTTACAACTCAAAAACAGCAAGATAAAACGGAATCTGTTTCATACTCAAGTACTACTATTAGCCCAGCCACATCCAAAATACCTAAAGTGTATGAGAGTACTACAGCTAGTCAAACTGAATTTACAACTGAAAAATTCACTACAAAAGAGCTGACTGATAAAACAGAATCTATGTTATATTCAAGTACTGGTAGAGAAGTTGAATTGACAGCACAAAATATAGTTAGTACAACAGAATCGGTTCCGTATTCTAGTAGTACTACTAAACTGAGTACACAAAAAATTATAACAGAGCCAACTCTGTATACTAGTGCTACTGCTAATGAAGCTAGCTTTACAACAGTAAAAGAAGCTGAATCTACAACACATGAAATTTTTGAAAAAACAGAACCAGTTCTGTACACTAGTGCTACTACTAACAAAGTTGACTTGACAACACAAAAACTACTTGATACGTCAGAATCTGTTCCGTACTCTAGCAGTACTGTAAATGAATTGGAATTTTCAACAAAAATACGTGATAAAACAGAGCCAGTTCTATACACTAGTGCCACTGTTAATGAAGCTGACTTGACAACACAAAAAATACTTCAAACAACAGAATCAACAACAGTACATGGTATAACAGAATCAATTCCATATACTTCTTCTACAGCTCATACCGATGAGAAGTTAAAAACTTCGCCACAGCCAGAAATGGAAACCTCTACAATGTCAACTACTCTTAAACCGCACGTCATTTCTGAGACCACGCAAAGTACAATGCAAACATCTGGAGAAATAGAAGGTGGAGAATTTACAACTTCTACTGTGTATAAATCCAGTCGTCAGCAAACTACACCAACATTTTATACTGAACCAGTTAAAACTACAACAACATTTTCGGCATCTACAGAACAATCGCCAGAAACTAGTTCATATTTAAGTAAAACTACTACAACTGGTGGTGCTGAAACGCTGTTAACTACTGAACGTATATCTAGTCAAAGCACATCGACTAATCTGCCAATTCAAGAAGCTTCTACTTATAAAGAAGAGCAAACTACGCAAAAATCATTTGACGAAACTTTATCGTATAGAAATAAAGAAGGAATAGAGGGAATATCTGCTATTTCAACCTTATCTACAGAATATCCTGTTGAGCATTCCACAGAAAGTGCATTTAAAACATTAATAACTGAAAAAATACTGAGCACGACACCAAAAATATCTATATTGGATATTATAAAAGAAAATATAACAACCCCAAATGTGACATCTACAAAATTGTATATTGAAACGACAGAAAGTAGTAAACCGCCTCCCGAATTAGAAATATGTCAGTATAATGAAGACTGCCCATTAAATAAGGTGTGTGATAAACTTCAGAGAGTTTGTACCAATGTATGTATAAAAGATTTGTGTGGTATAAATGCTGAATGCGTTCCTCATAACCATAATTATGTTTGTCAATGTTTAACTGGATATACCGGAAATGCTTATGTTGAATGTATAGTTTCTGTCTCAGAACCAGAAGTTACTACACATAAAGTAATCCCTGACATGATTACCGAACATACTCAAGTTAGTGAAATACTTCATTCTACAAAACAAGCTGGTACTACACCAAGTTTTACGTCTGAAGGTGGTACAGATTTCACTCCTTTGGCATCGCAAAGAAGTACGACATCAACAACCGAAAAAGTTACATCTCATAAACAAACTGTAACACCAGTATATACTGAGGGTACTTCTGCATATACTGAAACTGAGACTTCCGTAACTGGTATTCATCGTATTACAGAAACCCCATTAATTTCCGAATTATTTAATAAAACTGAGCCAACCGAAAGCATCACAAACAAAACCACTGAATTTAGTGTAGAAACAACCACTTCTACTAGTTCTGGTACTAGAATAACAGAAACTCAGGTAAGTCAAGAAATACCAGAAACAGAATATCCTTTAAGTACTGGCTATACCAGTGTACGAACAACAAATGGCAAGATGACATCGACAGAAAAAATGGAAGAAACAACCTTACCTACTAAAATACGCATAACAACAGAGAGCACTATTCCCGTTGACACATCTGAATTTGTAGGCAGTACAACAGAATCTGCAAAGACTAATACAACCGTTTCAAATACTCTTCAGGCTAATACAGAGTCTCAGACAACATCTATTCCGACAATAATGACAACGTCAGAATCTTTAAATACCGAAGGTTCTAAATATACAGAAACTCCATTGCATACTATAACCTCGACATTACCAACTACAGTTACAGAAATTTTCCCCTTCGATACCACAAATTTGACTACTACAGAAAAAACAAAAGACCTTAGTACAGTTTTAACTCCCAAAGAATTTATTGAATTAACAACTCTTGGTAGAACAACAGTTACGTTAAATGGCACAGAAGTAATTGAACTTACAACTGAAAAAGCTACTACTACAACGAAACAAACGGTAATGGTGTCAACTTCGCAAATAGAAGAACTAACAACAACCGGTACCGTTATTGTTAATACCACTTACAGTGACTTATATTCTACTACACCGCGACAGAACATTCCTGAATATACTACAATAAATTTAGCAACGTCTGAATATCTAACAACAACCCTACCAACTGAAACTAGTACACAAAGCAGTGGAACAACAGTAACTGGTTATGAATCAGAAACTAAATCAACTACTACTGAAAAGGCGTTTTATACAATGACGTTTAGATCTCCAACAACGGAACCATATTCTTCGACTACTACAATGAAATCAACAGAGGAAGGTTTCGAAAGAATGACGACCTTTAGTACGTTGCTTACAGAAAAAGAGTTTTATGAGTTAACTACTATCGGTAAAACTACAATTCATATTGGAGAAACTGAAAGTATTGACATAACAACTCCAGAGTATAGTGCTGGAGGTCGTACAGTATCGACCACAGAGTCTTATAACAGGTATACAGTGGTAATGTCTACTTCCGAAATAAGAGAGCTAGAAACTACCGGAACCGTTATTGTAACAACGGAAAGAAGTACTGAGCAAACATCAGCTTTTCCCAAATCAGGAGTTACCGAGTTTGAAACTACTACTAGAACCGATAAAGATTTACATGAGATTACTGAATCAACAACATCGCCTATCACGAAACCATTGGCAACATCTACCGAACATTACACAGAATCTACATTGCAGGTATCTACCGAAACAAGCACGTACCGCTTAGAAGAAACTACTAAAAATATCGCAGAGGAAATTACTACAGAAACTATATTAACCACAACGATGTTTAGCAAAGACATTCTATCAATTACAAACTATACACAACAACTAAAAAATCAAACTGTCGAATGCTTAACAGATAACGAATGTGAGGATGCGGAGGTGTGTCTATTTAAAAAATGCATTAACGTGTGCTCTGTGGGAAGCCTTTGTGGGGTAAACGCTATATGTACTGCTGAGAATCACGCAGCTGATTGCACTTGCCCACCATACCATTACGGAGACCCACATAGGACGTGCTACCCAGGTATTTCAATTATTACTCAACACCAAGATTTACGAAAAAAGGGATTTTAAATAAAATTTACTATGTAAATTATCACTGTAATTATGGTTAAAGTTTTAACTAATTTATTATATAGGTTTAGCATTCTACAACTGAGAGATATTATACCTATATCTGTGAGATTTAGATCAAAACTATTAATTTTATAAATTATTAATGGTTACTAATAAATAATAATGGTACTTTTCAATTTTTAGTAGATAACATATTCTAAAAGTTTAGTAATCACAGTCAATAATAATGACTATATTGTTCCCTGTAATGAAGGTGATGAACCTGATAAATAATGCAGCATCTACCTTCCTCTTGTCAATAATATTACTGACATGTAGCTTGTTTTATAATCTTTGGTATAGCCCTAGAGTGTTTTTTTTTCAATTGGACAAAATTTGGGCTTTGCTTTGATAAAAACGGAAAGTTTATATTTTTTTTCATAACATCCTGATCAGTTTTTATCCTAAAGTTGAAGCTGTAATATTGTTGAGCTTTGGTTAAGATATTTTAAGAACCTGGATTATAATACAGGGTGGCGCCTCTCATACGATGCGAAGGCTCCAAGGAGAACCATAGTTTATGTCAAAATGAAATTTTGGGAGCTTATGTAGATTAATTGAAAGCATTTTATAAAAATATACAGAGTTATACAGGGTATACTGAGTAAAAGAAATATATGCCTAAAATGTAAAGATTTTGACATATTTTACATTTTGCGAAAATGAAGAGTAAATTTTAAATTTCAATAACAGCTAGCTATATTTTAATTTACCCTGCAGAGCTTCATATTTAATTACAATAATCATTGTATGTTAAAGTAAATTAAGATTTTACCCGAAAAGTTATACAGGTTCAGACAAAATTAATATGGTACATTGGCCACATTTAACAGCAAGTTACTCCTTTATTTTAAATGAAACACCCAGTATATTATTTCGGTATTCAATGAGGAATTCATATATCGTCAAAATATTTCCCTTTCCTGTTAACAGCATAAACTGATTCTCTTTTTAAAAAAAATCTTTTCATTTTAAAAGACAGTGTGGAGTTCTACTTCGAAATGCAGCTACAATTATTACTCTCATATTGTCGACAGTAGTTAGTCGAGTTTTGTAAACACTGTTTTTAACATATCCCCATAAAAAACAGACTAGATAAAATCAGGAACATTTAAGTATTCTGTTAATTAATGAATGCACACTGAATTTACCAACTCATAGAATCATATCAATTCTCTCTAATATAGGATAAGTTTGCTTATTCGGCAATTTTCTAAAAAAAAATTAGTTTTAACTGACATAAAATGATAACTAGTTGTTAAAGTTGGACTAATTAGACAGCTATGTTGTGAAGTAACGTCAGACATACCACAACCTCCTAGATTTTGTCAAATATAATACAGATCTATTAACACTAAATCATAAAAATGAAAATATCTAGAAAAATCTTTGTTTGAGGGGTAGGCAACCTTATGAGTATTTTGAAGAGACGTGAATTCCCCATTGAATTTCGAAATAATATACTGGGTGTTCCATTTAAAATAAAAGAGTAACTTGCTTTTAAAGATGACCAATGTTCAATATTAATTTTGTTTCACCCTGTACAACTTTTTGGGTCAACTTCTAATTTAATTTAAAGTACAATAGATATTATAATTGCATATTAGGCTATACCGGGAAATTCCAATTTAGGTAGCTATAAGTAAATTGTTCTTTATTTTTAGAAAATGTTGAATATGTCAAAAACCTTACATTTTAGTCATATACTAATTATTATAATATATAATTATAATACTAATTATAATATTCTCTAATAAAACTCACCTTTATTTTTCTCCCAGAATCCGAAAATCAATTAATATATAGGGTGTTTCATTATAAAAAACACAACTTTGATATATAACTTTATTTGGGAACACCCTTTAGAACTCTCTATATTTTTAAAAAGTGCTCTGAATTAACCTACATATGCTCACAAAATTTCATTTCAATACAAACTGTCGTTCTCCTGAAGCATCCGCGTCGTATGAGAGGCGCCACCCTGTATATAAAAATTGTTTCTTCGTTCATCTTCTCAAGTTCTTATACTTACATATTCCAGAATGAGAAAGAAATAGAAACAAAGCTTTAAAATGTTTATATGAAAATAACTTTAATTACCTAAATTAGTATTTATCCTTATGATATGTAGATTCACAATACCTAATAATAGTGTGTGTGTTTTACACTATAATAATAATGACGCCTTCAAATACAGTTAAATGTTTCTTTTTATGATATTTATTCATGTTCGTATTTAAAAATGTTTCTATTTTTAATAAAAGTTCGCATTTAGAATATACAGGGTTGTTCACCATATACAACACGGAGTATTGTAGCTAAACGATTAGATTTTTACAAATTTAAGTTTTGGGTTCGTTGAATGACTATTAGAGCTACAATTTAAAAATATTTTTACAACCTACAGAGTGTCCCAAATAAGTAAAAAATATTATAGTTGTATTTTTTTAAATGGAACATCCTGTATATTATTCTATTTTTAAATTCTACGATTGAAATAAAGGTAAACTTGATTAAGGTTTATCATACTTAAACCTTACCGTTTTTTGAAATATTTTTAATTTTATGAAATTACAGTAAAAATTTTAAGCCTTCATTTCTCCAAGGGTATCGAAGTTTTTAATACTAAATATTTACTGAAGTTTATTGATTGATCATATATTGTGTTGCAATAATAAACAAAATACTACCTTATACAGAGTGTCTAAAAATTTATATTAAATAATTACTATTTTTAAACGGCAATAACTTGTTTAATTTAAATGGAACCCTCTGTATATTTTACGAGAATCAGATACACAATTTAATTGTCTATCAAATTGTATTATACCATTTTTTACCTATCTTTTCAAATTTTCGTAGAAAATGCATTTTTTATAATTTAAACCTCATTTATCACCCTATACCCATGGAATATTGACATTTTAGATTATTTTTAAAGATGTAACAAATTTTCAAAGAGTACCAGATACTACTATTGTCGATATAGTTCGCTTATTTTATTAAAAGATAAAAAAAACTGTTTAAATATTTTTTGTTAAACAGGACCAATTAATATGATTCCAGTATTCAAACTACATTAATTGATTGTTTACATTGATTAATAATAATAATTGCTCCAAATACAAAAAAACTGAATTTTGTATGTGTATTAGACAGTGTGGTAAAAAGTAATAACTAATAAATTTTATTTCATTTTTGACGAATGCTTATTTATGACAGAGACGTTCACTTTCATAACTTATGATTGTATTGATTTCTGAGTCAAATCCACATTTATTTAGAATAATTTATTGATTAAAACAATTAGTATGTAATTAACTAATTTTTGGGTAGAAATAATGGTGGTCTATTAATAATTAGTAATATTTGGTATACTCTTTTATAAAGATTTAAATAGTTTTCTTTTTGTAAACAAATGGGCCTTGCAATATTATTATTTTTATCACCTGTACATTTTGTATATATGTTGCTTAAAAAAATCTAAAATGTCAATAGTCCATGGGTATAGTGATAAATGAAGTCTAAATTAGAAGAAAATGCATTTTCTACGAAAAATTTTAAGAGATAAGTAAAAATGGTATAATACAATATGATAGACAATTAAATTGTACATCTGATTCACGTAAAATATACAAGGGTGTTCCATTTAAATTAAACAAGTAATTGCCGTTTAAAAATAATTATTTAATATACATTTTCGACACTCTCTATAAAATAGTACCATTTTTATTATTGCAACGCAATATCTGATCAATAAATAATCTTCAGTAAATATTTAGTATTAAAACCTTTCATATCCTTGGAGAAATGAAACCTTAAAATTTTTACTGCAATTTCACAAAATTGAAAATATTTCAAAAACGGTAAGATTTAAGTATGATAAATCTAATCAAATTTACCTTTATTTTAATCGTAGAATCCAAAAATAGAAGAATATACAGGGTATTCAATTTAAAAAATACAACTATTATATTTTTTACTTATTTGGGACACTCTGTATCTTGTAAAATTATTTTTAAATTGTAGCTCTCATAGTCCTTTAACGAACCCAAAGCTTACAATTTGTAAAAATCTAATCGTTCAGCTACAATACTCCGTGTCGTATGTGGTGAACAACCCCTGTATAACATAATTTAAAATACTTTATTGAACACTATATATAGCTTGTAACATAATATATCTGAAGACCTACCTTGTCAAATTAACAATAATTATAATATAGAGCTTGGTTACACAATATAGGTATAATAAATCTCTTTAAATGGTTGGGGTTAAAGCCGTGACTTAACTTGTAAATACGTTTTTTTCTCTAAGATTCTAAATGTAAACCAGTCCTTTATTAATTTACTTTATTGTATCATCCTACCTAACAAGTAAAAAATACTAATTAACTTACATTCCTACTAGCATCGCCTAGCGAAAGGGCGCCTAAGCCTTGCGAGTCTGACACGGACTGCCTCGAGTCGGAGGCGTGTTACTTGTCTCTTTGCCAAGACCCTTGCGAGTTTACACGAGCCTGTGCAGCTAGTGCCCGGTGCCAAGCCAAAATGCACCGACCGATATGCACTTGCCCCATGGGATTCGAAGGGAATCCTGCGGTCAAGTGTTCCAAATCTCCTACAAGTAAGATAACTTTGTCACTGTATATATTATCTTGTTTCATCTGTCGCGTAATTACCAATAATTGTAACACTAATATTGTAACGATTAATCGTAACGTTTAACCAACACCAGTCTAAATTAGAAGAGTAGAACCAGTTTTGTTTGTTGTCTCAGTTTGTTCTAGTATGTAACGTTTCTTTTTTATATCTATGGAAAGATAACTCATCAATCGACTATTTTTTTTGACTTTATACTCTGAAAAAAAAATTTGGTAGACACCTCAAAACAATTTTCTCCAAGTATGAGCTTAATTTTAATAGAAAGATCCCCCGCCTTTCAGTTTCTTATTTTTTTCCCTATTATTAGAAAGAAAAATTCATATCTTGGTATCTACTATTTGGAAAAAATATATCGTCTCATAGGTTTGTAGAAAATTGAATTCTCTACAAAAAAAGTCTCTTACAATTTTTTTGTAAACCTCACCGTTCGAAAGTTATTAAAGATTGAAGTTTGATTATTTTAAAGCAAATTTTTTTTTATGAATTTTATAACTCGTTAACAAAAAATCGTTATGATACTCACATCATGGTTTTGTAGGAAATTCACTGCTCTATAAAAATGGTTTCTTATGATTAGTCGATTAAATTAACCGTTTAAGAGATATTCGTCGTCAAACTTTAATGCACAATAATTTTAGCAGAAAAATGTCTATACCTATGTGGCGGATTCATCTCTCCAAAAAATTCTATAAAGGTATTTCGCAACTGCAAGAAAATCTACAAAATAAAATAGTTATTTTTTGTAAACACAAACGGAAACTACTTGTCAGAAGTTAGGTTTACAGTTATACAAATTTGCCTAACAAACAAAAAAAATGCTTAACGTTTCGGAAAGTTTATCTCTTTCCGTCGTCGGAAGCAAAAAAATACAAAGAATAAAAAAAAACTATTTAAAATATTTAAATTCAACTATTCGAGAACACTTTAGTTTTTTAAAACAGATATGTCTACAAAAACCGTTGACGTTCTGTTAAAGTGACATTATATGAAGTTAAACTTCAAAATTAACAATTACTACCTGATAACAATTACTTAACTAGGTAAAACCAAACAGCCCCAAACTTTCTGTATGATTATTTTTAAATTTTACGTATGTTATGTTCTTTAAAATCAAAAAAGCGATTGCCATACATTACTAACATCGACAGATGCATGAGCAATACATTTATTTTTATTAGATTGTATTAAAAAAGCCTCTTTTATTTTTCTTTTAGAGGCTATCGCTTCTTTCATTATAATTTTGGCGTTGTTAAAATTTATTCTGTGCCCTGTGTCCCATGAATGCTGACAAATGTTAGATTTGTGAAAATCTCCCTTTCTTAAATAATCTTTATGTTCTTTAATTCTAACATTTAAGGGTCCAGATGTTTCACCAGTGTAAAATATATCGCATTCACATGGTATTTTGTATATTACATTTTTTGTTTGTTGTTCTGTATTCATTGGTTTAGTATGTGATAAAATGGATCTCAGTGTATTTTGTGTGTTTTTTTTTTATTTTCGCTTGGGTTTAACGCAGAAGTTTTTACAAAAAATAACTATTTTATTTTGTAGATTTTCTTGCAGTGGCTAATAGGGAATGCAATCCCGCACCAAAATCTCAATCCCGCAAACCCGCGGGATTAAAACAATCAATCCCGCGGATCCGCAAAATTGCGGGACTGTAAACAATAGCCATACATTTGGTCCTAAATGGTACAAAAGGCATTGTACATTTTGCATAGACCCACAATACATTGATATAGCGTGTATCTTAAACTAGCTGTACAGAAATTTGGACCGATGTATACAGGGTGTTCAAGAAATATTTAATATTAAATAAACTTAAACTTTATTATGATTTATCTACTTATTTTATAAATAAAAATATTATTCTGATTTTGAAGTTTTTTTTAAACTTGTGTTAGTTATCGGCTTTTAGATACACTCTATATCAATAATTTTTGGGCATATGCAGAATGTACAAAGCTTTTTGTACCATTTAGGGCCATATGTATGACTAAAAATGCATAATTTTCGAAAAAACGTCGTATTTTCCTTAAAACAAAAAAAAATGAAAACTGATCAAATTGTTTTTTCTAATTTCAATACAGATTAGTCGTACTTCGTAAAAATTTCGATTTTTTAAAAATTGTAAATTTGCGGTAAAAAAGATTCTTAACCAAATTTTCACACTCTCATAAAACACCCTGTATACGAGAATTCGAAAGTACTAGTTAAACGCTTTTCTTCACTAACGCACATACGCCAGAAAGAAGTCTAACAACTAACCTGTTTGTTTCACTTATTTTTAATGGCCAAGTCGTAAGGGGAAACCCCCGGGTTCCGAGCATCGACGCATCAGCCCGGAACGAAGCGATTTGACCTTAATCGAGATCGATTCGGTTACCCAGTAGTAATATATCGATCCCGCACAGTAAATCCCGCAACTTTGATCCCGCATTTGCGGGATTGCATTCCCTAGTGGCGAAATATCCATATAGGGTTTTTTGGAAGAATTTTAGCAGTTTTTGATTAATAATTCGAACAATTGCAATCCAATTATATTATCTCAGTTGATAATTAAATAAATAAACTACTTTTTGATAAAAAATTGTATTTATTTTCTTCTAGATCAATACTTTTTATATTAAATTTGTCACAAAAACATTTACTCGAAATTTAATGAATCATTGGGAAATTCTCAATTAGAAAAAATGTAATAACTTTTTGTTTCAATGTACATGTTTAGGACTAAAAAATCTAGAAAAAAGTTTAAAGCATTTCTCTGTTCATAGAAACTCAAATTTTAACAAATTTTCCCGAAACTCATAAAATAAATTAATTCGAATTGTTCGAATTATTAATCAAAAACTGTTAAAATTATTGTGCATTGAAGTTTGAGAATGAATATCTTTTAAACGGTTAATTTAGAAGAAGAGAATTTCCTACAAAACTATGAGTTGCGTATATCAAAATGATTTTTTGTTAACGAGCTATAAAATTCATAAGAAAAAAGGAATCTGCCTTAAAATAATCAAACTTCAACCTTTAATAACTTTCGAACGGTG